AAAGTCGACGATCCTGAAGCAGATGAAGCTCATCCACGAGGGCGGCTACTCGCGTGACGAGCGGGAATCCTTCAAGGAAATCATCTTCAGCAACACGGTGCAATCGATGCGCGTCATTCTCGAGGCTATGGAATCGCTTGAGCTGCCCCTCGAGGACCAACGCATGGAGTACCACGTCCAGACCATCTTCATGCAACCCGCTCAGATTGAAGGCGACGTTCTGCCCCCTGAAGTTGGAAGTGCCATCGAGGCTCTGTGGAAGGATCGCGGTGTTCAGGAGTGTTTCAAGCGCTCTCGCGAATACCAGCTTAACGATTCTGCGAGATAGTGAGTTTTTCCAGTCCTCGGCGCTGAGCATCGCTTGCTGACAAACCCAGCTACTTCGACAACATCGCTCGTATCGCCGCCCCCGACTACATGCCCAACGACCAGGACGTCCTGCGATCGCGTGTCAAGACGACGGGTATCACAGAAACCACATTCATCATCGGCGACCTGACGTACCGAATGTTCGATGTCGGTGGCCAGCGATCAGAGCGAAAGAAGTGGATCCACTGCTTCGAGAACGTCACCACAATCCTCTTCCTCGTCGCCATTTCTGAGTACGACCAGCTCCTGTTCGAGGACGAGACTGTCAACCGTATGCAGGAAGCCTTGACGCTTTTCGACTCCATCTGCAACTCAAGATGGTTCATTAAGACATCCATCATTCTGTTCCTCAACAAGATCGACCGTTTCAAGGAGAAGTTGCCCGTCAGCCCGATGAAGAACTATTTCCCCGACTATGAGGGTGGTGATGACTACGCCGCGGCATGCGACTACATTCTCAACCGATTCGTCAGCCTGAACCAGCATGAGACCAAGCAAATCTACACGCACTTCACCTGCGCGACAGACACAACCCAGATCCGCTTTGTCATGGCGGCAGTGAATGGTGAGTTTAGCCCCGATTGGAACCACAGAGCTGGTACAAAGCCCACAAAGAAATGAGACTAACGCGCGACAAACAGACATCATTATTCAGGAGAACCTGCGGTTGTGCGGTCTGATTTAAACACTCAAAAACGTTTGCTTTTTTTCAACAATACCCTTTACTTCTAATTGCATGACCAAAGCCAGTAAGCGTCGTGGAGGCTGGCTCATGAAATTTACTCTCCTCCCGACGACGACGAAACGGCGACCCTGCTACGGTTTCCCCAGATTCCCTTGCTTACGCGACTGTATTTTTTCTTCCTACACCTCGGCTATCCCCCCGGTATATTGCCTCACAGACTAGGCGGTACACTTTTTTTGGTTCTGCCTCGTTGGTCCGCGTTCAGGAATAGGGGGAAACTTGGGGAGGTAGCTCTGTATCAAACATGATGTTCGGACAGCAGTAGACGGAACCGCGGCGGGACGAGGAAACCCGACCATTGACGGATGGCGGCGAGTGAGAGACGGAGGACGAGATGTGGAAGCCCGGACGGATGGACAGCAAGAGGAAAAGAAGCAATGAACTTGAATGCATTTGAGAGAGAGTCCGATGGACGGAAGGCGGTTAAATATTCTGTTTAATTACGAAAGTCTCCTTATTCCTCACGTTGCGCGCAGGTCGAGAGACTCCTTGAACCTATGCTTTTGCCGCCCAGCGACCTGTATTTTCACTGTGCGCCTTTCCAGTCTGTAGTCTCATTTTAACCAGCATCTGTGCAGGCAGCGACACTGGGTATCGTAGCATCACCAAGTCTACAGTATGCACTACACGAAGGTTCCGTCTCGGTGCGGCCCTTATCCGCAGATTTACCTATGATAGCCCTCAATCCACCCACTGGGGTTTGAACGTAGTCGAGAAATTTTAGTTGCTGTAGGTAGCCCAGTCCAGACCCGACGCTATAGTAGACCTCCGGCGCGGACGGCCATCTCCGTTTTCCGTCCCCAATTTCGCCGTTCGCGGCATCGAGACCGCAACCGCCGCTTCCGTCTCTTGGGGTGGACGACGTAGATCTACGTAAGGCTAGTCCCGAGAGAAAACGACCTACCTTCCCTAGCGTAACGTAATGCCAAAGGGATTTAGCCTTTCGACTCGTCGATACTGACTCCTCTGCCTTCTCTCCCCTTCTTCAAGGGTCCTGCTCAGTCCCAGAGGGACCTACTTCGTAACTCCCTCCCGAGAGATCCCCTCGCCCCCGCCACACGCACACACTCACAAGTCCGCGCCCGCGGTTTTTTGGTCTGAAGTTTGGATTTAAGCTTGGGAAGGGGAGTGAGGGTGAGGTAATGATGGTGTGCGTGCATATGTATGTGTGTGTGTGGCCGAGGATGGAGCTCCACATCCAATGGTTAAGCTTCCTACAGTTCGACACGGACGTCTTCTCACATTATCATTTTGACGTTGGACATGCAGTTGGATGAAGAGCAAAAACTCTCTCCCACACGTCGCCAAGCGGCGGCGGCGTATCTTGCTGTACGTTTGACGGAGTGGCGCAGCAAGTTTTGAGACTTGCGACAATTCTGTGAGTTCGTCTTCCTGATGCGGTTGAAGACACACACACGATAGTCGACATGGGGTCTCTCTCAACTTGACGGTTTCTTATAAGAGAGGCTCACTCCTGCAGCTCTTCTGAATCTCTAGCGCGCGGAGCAGCTGCAGGAGCTGTTGCTACAACACGTCTGTTATTGGTAGGGGTCCGGTTTTCGCCCAACCACACATATAATACTGTACCGTCTGATATTGGGTCTTTTACCTTAATTGAATGTTGGATAATGGTGTGCGAACCGGGGGCTGGCTTTGATCCCTTCTCATTCTGTCCCTCTCTCCATCCGTTTGTTGGACGAAATTTTTCTCAAACATGTCGCAGGATTTGTTGTTCGCCGCTAGGTTACAAGTCCAAGTATCTTCAGTGATATTTGGATGTTGGATATTGATTGATGTCTTTTTCCGGGAAAAATTCTCTTTGGTTGCGTTGCATGTTTGGTGACCCCTTTCATTTCGTTCCCTTGCGTAGGACCTTGGTTTTTTTTGGTCCTTCTCTTGCTTGCTGCGACCTTGTTTGCCAACCCAACCACCCCCTGGAACCAGCAAGTCGGAGAATTTTTGGAACGCGCAACGACGGTGAGAGATCTGGACCCCGTTCATTCCGCCCCTGGGCTGAAGAGTCTGTGAGAGCCCCCTTCCGGAGAAGGCAGCCGAACAGAGAGCAGCAGTGAGGTGAGATAGAGTTGTGAGGGGAGAGGGGTGGACTGTGGGGTTACACTCTTCTGTTTCATAGTGATTACCATACCACGGTGAGGTTGAGAAGGCAAGGCAGTGAGAGGCAGGTGATGGGCATTTTGCCCGGTATTATCTCATCATCGCCGACAGCTTTCCTTCGGCATTAAGGTGTCGACGAGAAGCTGGGGTTGGGGACACAACCATCGGGGACCTGCCGCGTGTTGGGCGGAGGCGAAGATCCAGAGTTTCTTTCGGGCTGATGTGGATGGTTTTCTGCTCTCAGATCCCCTTTGCACCCCCCCCCCTCCTCACGTCGAAATGTCACATGGGACGAATGATATAGACTTTTGTTGGTCGCCCTTGGTGGTGAGATCGCCTTGTGGTTTGGTTTTTCCTGCTCGCCATTATACCCGTGGCAAACCCGTGGCAAACCCGTTCTGAGCAAGCAGCTGTGGGTGTGAAGCAAAGCAAAAGGGTTTTCTACGTGTTCTTCGCTAGGATCGAGCCGAATCCGAAGACACGCACTTCTCACCATTATCACCGATTTACTTTCACGTTATCGCCGAGTTACCTGAACAGAAGGGATGCTGGTTGGATGGGCTGAGTGTGCCGTTGACTCTCACATGGGATCTGGCCGTTAAATCGCATGTGCTTGGGCTCCAAGGGAGGGAGAATGCGCCCCAATATGGCTCGCCACCGTGAGGCGCGTTATATCGAGTGACGCAGGCCGCTGGTGGCCTTTCCCCCTTCCTACGACGTCGGACGTCAGACGATTCTGGGGCGGGTTAGGTGAGCGACGGTTCAGGATCGCACCGCTGGGCATACGTTGGATATAGGTGACCGGAATATTACAGGCAACGAAAAAAGCCTTGACCTTTCCCGTGTCGGGTCTGCTCCGCCGTGTTAGTGCCCGTCTGGGACCCAGCTGAGGCGCGATGCGAGGCGGAGCATGGAGTAAAGACACGGCCAGTGAATCCTGAACCCTGGTTATGATGCGTGATCACTGTAGCCTAGTTTGAGGAACGAAAACCCGGTGTGAGAGATGCAGTAAGCCAAGAGGTTGAGGTCACAGAGACAAGCTGCCAGCTGACCGGCCCCAGTATGGGGAGCCCTGGTTCACGGCATGCTCCGCTGCAATGGTACACGACGAATGCATGCTTGATGTATGAAAGAACCGTGGTATCAATCTATATGTGTGTGTTCAGTATGCACGCCCATTAGCCTCGCCCAAGGTAGCTGTCAACTCAGCTCCTTTTCACGCGTAAAAGTGTATGTGTGCGTGATGATTGTACGAGGTGAACCAATCCCAAAAAAACAAAAACTAATGCTTCCCATTGCCTTATGCTTTGCTGTTATTCTCTGATGACCGTATGCCTGCCTGGTGCTGCAGGGAAATCCCAAGCTCCCCATGTCTGTATGTGTGTGTGTGTCCCTCTGTCGTCATTGGGTCGTTTTCGCATTGGTCTGTTGGTCTCCGTTCTCCATGTGTTCGCATAGACGGTGCCGCCCTACCACCACGCAGGTGCCAAGTGTATATTGGGAGGGAGAGCGAGTAAGTCGGGCGCCCATGCCCGCGTGTTCTCAAATGCAAAGTGGTACGATGATGATAGAGAAGCTTTGTCATCCACGGCATCGTGACAGGGAAAGAACAACATTTTGCCCGACTGCATCGGAGGACTGATGCGGGTTGGTAATTGGTCACGGTGATGTTGCTCAGGCCGTGAACATAATCATCGTCGGCCGCTTTTCTCGGGCCAGTATGTGGAAGACGCAAAGAAGGGTCGATTAAGAGTGAATCGTGAGCCGACTCTCACGGTCCGTCGTTCCCGTCTCCCATCGCCGCCTCCGGCACGGAGCCCTCGCCGTCTTGAGGGTGCTGACTCGGGTCATGGCCCGCCTGCTGAGCCAGAAAATCGGCGTACTCGGCGCTAGCCAGCGCTAGCTCCCGCGCCGCCGTTTCGATGCGGAACTGGAACCGAATGTTTGGATCGTCACTTCGGACCTCCGCCATCGCTCTGTTGAGTGCATCTCTTGTGAACTGGGCCACTGTGTGGTTGCCGCCTGGCTGCCCGAAGCCGCTAGGGCCTGCGGGGACCATGCCGGGAGCCATCGGCGCTGCGCCGGCAAAGCTTGTGTTTGCAGACACCTGAGGCGGCATCTGGACCGCTGGCATGTGCTGAGGGAGGTTGTTTTCTGCATTGATGTCGGTTAGCTCCCCGTATCTTCACCATCTCGTTCGTTCTCTTGAAGCGATACATGTATACTTACCATGAAAGGAACATCTTGACCCGCTCGCATTAAACCAGCAGTTGGCACAGCTGCCGCACATCTGGCCATTCACCACAACACAGCCGTTCCACGGGCCGTAGCCTTTATGGCAACTCTTACAGGGGCTGGCGGTCTCCTGGCCAGAGACATGGGCTAGCAGAGCCTCGACATTGCTACGCCTCTTTAAGTTGAGGTTTTGGTCTCCACGTCTTTGTACCGCAAGGCGGTGCCCCTCGTTGTTGGCTAGACGTTTTGCTAGAGCACTGTCGATGACCAGCTGATGGTAGCCGCTCTGCTTTGCCAGGTCTTCAGCGGTCAGGGGAATATCTCCCGGGCCACCATGGCCGCCTTGACTGCCCATGTGAGCTTCCATGGCGAACTGTGCCGGTAGGCCGTGAAGATCGGGATGTATGTCCGAGTCGGGAGGGGGAGGGCCGTTGGCCAGGATACCCGCAGCTGCGAGGTCGAAGGCGTTCGGGTGGTGCTGCTGGTGGTGCTGCTGCTGATGTTGGTGGTGTTGTTGAGAGGTCGTGGGAGGAGGGGGAGCGGTTATCTCGTCGTCATCTTCGTGCTCAGCTTCGGCCTCTGCATCGTGGGCGAGCTGTTCGAGCTGGTGGTCGACGGCGGACGGGGGGTGTCGGCTGGCTGCGGCGGTGGCGCGGGCAAGGGCTTGGGGGTCCCGCTTGATGCCGGCAACGGCGGCGGCCTTGGTCACCTTGTTTGGGCGGCCACGAGGAGGTGGACGGCTTCCGCCTCGGGCACTCATGGAGGGTTGGTCGGAAGAGAAGGGCACGGCTGAGAGCTGCCTTTCTGCGATGTGGACTAGTAGCTAGCTGATGGGAGCTGCCTGTGGCCGGGCTGTCGGTGATGAGTGGCGTTGCAAGCGGACAGCTGGTGACGGCTGGAGATGATGGTCGTGGTCGTGGTGGTGAGGCGTTGGGGTCGTTTGGGAAAGCTCTGTTGGTTGAGAGCGGGAAGGAAGCTCACACTGCACCGGTTGCTGTTGGCCGCGCTGGCAGGTCCCACTCTCTGCAACCGCTTTGGTGTGGCAGCACGGTCCAGACGTTCACTTTCTTAAGTCGATGTTTGCTTTGGCAGTAATCCTAGCCTCAGCTGCATACTTGGAGATTCTTTGAGATATTTGTGTTTTCAATGACGTGAGAGCTCCTGGTGAATTATTTTTATTGGATATTAAACCTAGACTGTGGAAGCGAGCAGTCCGCGCCATGGGGCTTTTCGAGCCTAAGCCTGAATACCTTGATACTCTTCCTTGCCCAATGCATCTAACCGAGCTTACAATCCAAACGTCCCTCTCGATCCTTCGGTAGGTGCTTATCGCTATCAGAGCTCCATCAACCACCTGAATCTGTGAGGTGATTGGCTCGAATCGACCAGGGAAAGCAAGCTTTCGAGCCGTCGCGCATCTTGGGACAGCAGCAAAGTGCAGTCCCGGTCCCGAAAGTCGATCCCTCCCAAAGAAATTTCATCGTCATCGTCAAGCAGCATCAACCTCCACCGTCACGATAGCTCACGGCAAACCTCGCTCCTCCACGCAAGCCACCCATTTTAAAACACCCCTACACAACCACAATGGACGCGTATGTATAACCCCGCACGCAACTGCTGGAACAGCTGCAAAATCTGAGAAAGGGAATATCGAACTAAAGCGCATCTTTCTACAGTCTTACCAAGGCCGAGGAGACCCAGCTCCAGCAGAGGCTGCAAAAGCGCCAGGTCAAGGAGTTCATGAACGTATGTTGCACATATTCACCAATCAGTCTTACGGGCTGCAGTTGCGCTCTCATGTCGCAAATCTCTCAGCTTGGAAAACAACGGCGCTGACGTCTACCCCTCATAGCTGTTCGGTAACCTCGTCGACCACTGCTTCACCTCCTGCATCGACGACTTCACCTCCAAGTCCCTTTCCTCCCGCGAGACCGGCTGCATCTCCCGCTGCGTCCAGAAGCAAATGTTCTCCCAGCAGCGCCTGAGCGAGCGCTTCCAGGAGCACAACGCCCAGATGACTGCCCAGATGCAGCAGAACCAGTAAACGCTCTGCCAACAGAAAAAGGCACTGGCCGTAAAAAACCAATGAAGCATATTATCAATGAGAGAACAAACGAAAAAAATCCGGAATGGAAATGCTAGCGGCAGGCCAAAGGTTGGCTTGCACGCATGTGTAATACTATCCAGCACCACGACCAAGCTGGACGCTGTGGGATACGAATAACCACTGGAGTGGTTCGTAGACATGGCAAGAGAAACCGGTGAGTGTGGCGTTTCTATCATTAGATGTCGACACCCCGTGAGGGAGGTTTCTTGTACAATACTTTCTCAAAAGGCTGGATAGACGTGGTGGCATGGCATCTGCGGGTGTGAAAGACACCAAATTTATAGCAATCGAAGAAATCCTACTCCATCCACTTCACTAAGACGTGCTCCGACATTCACAACCATGCTGCTCACAGCATGCACCAAAAGGGTGTTGTTCCCTGCTTGGGTATCCGCTGATTTAATTCTACACCAAATGAGATCCAGTGGTTGCCGGAAAATGTACACTTTCATCCTATACACATCAACGCCTGAGCCATGTTTTAATCTTGAATCCCCCCTTTCGTTCCCTGGGCTACGAGGCCGCTCATATCGTGACTGCTACAATTAATCCTCCTCTAGTTCTTCGCTCAATACATCCCTCACAGCCTCCAGTTGCGATAGCACCTTGCTCTCGAGCAGGTTCTCTGGCTGTCCGTTATCGCCGGATGCGCCCGTCTTGGTGCTCTTCCACTCGACTTCGCGCTGGCCCAGTGGCAGGAGTCTGTCGCGGAGCAGCTTTCGGCTGGAAAGCCAGAAGTCGATGTTCTCCAGTAACGAAGCGGCATCCCATTGAACCTCGGGGATGTCTCTGTTGTTTGCAGTCCGCAGAGCGGCAATGACACGGGTCAAAAGCGCAAGGGAATGAACCTCAGAAACGGATAGCAGGGTAACGTAGTGAGGCGCTTCTCTAGACGCGGTCCGGCTGGCCCCGGGAGCCTCAAAACGGTCGACGCTAGACTTGAGCAGGAGAGGGAATTGGTTCAGGACGTAGGCAAGTTCGGGGGCAACGGTTCCACCCAGGGCTGTAAGCAGATTCAGCAGCAAAGGAAGTACGCCCTTTACCCAGATGCTATAGCATCGCTGTGGTCCGATGGCTTCTGAGAAGGGGGAGATGTTTCCACGGCGCATGAAATTTGTGATGCCAGCCGATGTCAAGTGGCTCAGCAAGCCGTCGCAAGCCATCTGTTCTGCCACAGCCGGGAGTGTCGAGAGCTCCAAGAGGAACAGCAAACTAAGCTCGCCGTAGATGGGGTCGTTGTTGACGGCAAGCTTGTCGGCCCATGAGAAGAGCGATGTTGCAGCATGCATGGCGTCATACGATGCCATGATGTTTAGAATCTGTGTCTGGCATTGGTCGATTATCGGCATATTGAGACAAGCTTGCAGGATGGCGGTAAGGAGAGCCAAATCCTCGGGCGCTACGGCAGCCTCGGTATCGTGAACAAGAGCGACAAGAGTCCTGAATCCCTTGGCGACCACTCTATCCAGCAGATTCAAAATTGTTTGGGTGAGTATGACGGAGAATCCCTCGCCGCCGTTCTTGGACGCTCCAAGGCCCTTTTTCTCAGCTGCACTGTAAGCCCGCAGAGTGACGTAGATGGTCTTGAGCATGGTTCGGTAGTACGAGATAGATCCCGGGTTAAACGGCTCCTCAACTCCGCTAACAATAGTGAAAAGCGTTCCAAGGACCTGGTTGACATCGTGGGACGAAATGGGACGACCGACAAGACGCTGAACGAGCAGAAGACTGAGGTCGGCACGCTCCTCGACAATGCGCATGAAAATGTTCTCGGGTCCTTGGTTTGATCGGTTCGCCTCAAGGCACTGTTGAGAGACCTGGAGCATCTGCTTGGCAATAGTCTCGTTCTCCGGAAGACTGCTGCTCAGTTCAAGTAACAAGAATTCCCAAGCGTGGAACAACGACTGCAAAGAGTTAGTACAAACTTTTATAGCTCAAGGGAAACTCACAATTTGCGCGTCAACGAGGGACAGGTTTGCGTTGGCAATGCCCATTTCGTTGCAGAAACCGCTGTTGCGACGACCATGCCAGCTGGGGTCGAAGCTTAGCATTTCAGTAGCACTTTCCAGGTCGTAGAAGTAGCTTCTGCCAAGCTCACCAGGCCTTAGAGCCGTTCGCTTAAAGGCTTCCAGAGAAACTCCAGGGTATTTGCTGGTGAAGTTCTTCGCAAAGTTGGTGTGAAGGGAGTTGTTGTAGCTTGAGACTTCGACACCATCGCGGAGATAGTAGTCGAGGTCTGACACCAGGCTCTTGGCGAATACATCAGCGCCACCCATCTGACGCAAATGGTAGAGCTGCATGGCGAAGATTTCGGCAATGTAAGCAGCCATCTTTGCATCGATGGCAGCCTTGACGGCGTCCGTTTTGCTGGTGACTGTGAAGCTGTTGAGGTCCTTGACGTAAAGACGCAAAGAATCTAAGAAGGCTGAGTCCTTCTGCATGGTAAAGATAGTCCAGGGCCAGTGGTTCTGGGATGATGCTACAAAGTCCAGGATACGAAGCGCCTCCGCAATCTCCAGTTCCTTGATCTTTCTCAGCTTCGTGAACGCAGTGGCAAGGACGGAATTGGGGGCGGATGAAGCGTCCTTCTTGCCGCCCTTCAGAGCATCTCTAGGCGTCTTGCCAGTCAGCAGGCAGTTCGACAACCATGTTTGACGGTTTTGAACAATTGTCGAGAAGAACTTCCATGTGGTTTGCACGTCCCTGCTAACAAGGAAGGGTTTATCGAGCCTTGACAGCACCTGAATGAACGACCGAGACAGCAGAGGACCAAGATATCCTAGAAGTGATGGAGGGTCGTCATTGGCTTTGGCTGCGCTCAGAACCAGCGCCTCGAGGAGCAGAAGAGCCGGTCGCCGGAATTGCTCGCATATGGCGCAGAGCCTCGCGAGAATCGACGATGTTTTGAAAAGATGATCCTCAAACCTTGCTGATGGTCGTTCGAGGTAGTTGGCCACACGCAGCAGCGTTGTCGTGAATTTGAGGGTCGAGATGAGTTGGTCTTGTGCGGAAGCTAGCCTGTCCTGATAGAGTGTTGAATCCGGGATGTGCAAACCGTTGACAAGTGTAGCCAGGAGCGGCTGGAATCGAAGAGAGCCAGTAGACGGCGAGAGGAACGAATCAATGATGTAGGAAGCGGCAGGCTCCAAGCACACCGTCAGGGTCTCTGAGTTATCTTTGTTACCCATACCGTAAGTGTGAGAAATGATGCGGTCCATCACCGGAACCACATGGCGGATGAGTAGAGTTCGGTGTAGTTCTGAAGCAAACCGCCATGTTGACGAAGTCTCGAATACGTCCACAGCGGCTTGCGCGATGGCCAGGCTGACTTTACCGAGCACCTTGTCTGCTACGCCAAGCCACACATTATTTGATACTTTCTGGCGACCAACTAGCTTGTTGCCCGACTTGCGCTGGACAGCACTGCTCTTGACGCTGTCAATAAGGCTGTCGAAGAGGCGAACAGAAGAGAGGAGCAAGTCGAAGCGATCACCAACAAGATCCAGGTTGCCTGTGATCTTTGCCAGTTTACCAGCTTGAGCATCGGAGTTCAAAAGTCCGCAGCGGGCCAGGTAAGACCACACCCTAGTAGGGCACAAGGGCAGAATTGCATGCAAAAACTGGACGCAGGAGTTGAGCACTGTGATGCCCTGGCCATCAGTTGCCTTGTCGTCTTGCATGTAAACGTCCATGGTCTCGCACACAACAGCAACCAGATCCTTGTTGCCAGAAATGTGCTTGCCAATTTCTTCCAACAACTCCAATCCAGACTTAAGCGAATCGTCACCGCTGAGTCCCTGTTGCTCAGACTTGAGTACTTCAGCGCGAAGAAGAGTAGACAACAGAACGATAGTCTCCGCCGTTTCCTCTGGCTGGAAGCCATCTAGCTCGCTGCGGTAAATCTCGGGCGAGAGCTGTACCTCCAGTCTCTTGCCTAGTAGAGCGAGCGCTGAGTGCTCATATTCCATCAGAACAACTCGCCCCGTATCCGTGATGAAGCGTCCATAGGTTTCCGCAGGTATCCTGAATGAGTCATCGAGTCGAGTCCTCCTGTTCCATGCGGTCGCAGGTGTGAAGAGTGGGATATCCTCCAGGAGGCAGAAAGTGTTGGTGTTGTCTTCCTCTTGGGCCAACTCATATTCTTGGTAATCGTCAGGTAGGATAAAGGTGAGAGTTGGGGTTTTGCGCAAAAGATTGACCACAATATCTGAACGACCATCGGCAACAGTGCAGTTTGCCAAAGCACGACAAATATTGAGAAAGGGCAACAGCTCGAAAGGGTAGCGGCTTAGTGCTTGGTGGAAGTAATACTCCAGAGTGGTGGCATCTTGAAGTACTTCACCCAGAACATCGTTCGCGGGTGCAAGGACAGGCTTTGCCAAGTCCCAGTATTGTTGACCAGCCGAAAGAACTGACAGAAGCGAGGTAACCGAGTCAGACTGGTATCCCACAAATGGGTAGGTAGCCTTCAGGAAATCAACAAAGGCAAGGCGTACCCTCGAGCTGATGAGCGACGTGAAAGCGCCCTCACTCAAGCCACCGATAGCAAGCGCCATCTCGGAGACAACCTCATACGCCCGCCCATTGGATGTCACAGCTACTGCGAGCTGCTCCACAACCTGCATGTCCTTATCAAGGCCAGCGCCTGTCAGGAAGATGTCGAACGACTTGCCGTCGAGAGAGACGATACTACCGGCCGAAAGTCGACGACTAGGCGTAGGACGGATCAGCACACCAGCTTCGAATGTCTCTTGGGAGCGCTGGTTCTGCAGAGCGTCTCGCTTTTCGATTCTTTCGTGATGCGAGACAAACATGCGGTGAACGATAACAGTCCAGGCAAAGATGACGGGGCTTTGACTTTCGCAATCGGCGTTTGCAGCTGCCAGGATTGCGTTGTGTACTGTCTCGAGGACAGATGGTGCAGTAATGTAAGGATCCTCGTCTCCGCGATACTCGGGTGTCTCCTCCGAGAGAGACTCTATGGATCTCGACGGGTTGAGCATTTTGAGTGAAATCGCAGTTATGAGCGATCTGAGGGGCATGATGAGTGAACCAATGCTCTCATTTGGCTGTTTGCTGTTAGCTTCGTTCCTTAAAGATAGTATCAGTAAACTTGCCGCAGTGATTCCGCTGAAGAAACCGTAGCCCTCCATAAGAGCGAACCATTGTCCAACAATCGCGCAGGGCACGAACGCATCGCCGTTTCCATCTACGGCCTGGAAAACCACCGATAGAGCGTGCACAGTTTCGGTCAGGACCGTCCGCACCCACTCCAACTCGAGTTCCTCAACCAGTAAGTTCTTGTCTTCCAGTACGGAGCCCAAGCCCTCCGCCAGTCTTCCAGCGGAATCTGTTACGAATTGGAGGTAGGTTGTGAGTAGGTCGGCCAGGTATTTGGGGCGATCGGTCGCGGCAAGCAGTCTCGGAGGTGTTGATGGCGCATCGACAGTCGTTATCTGGGTCGAAGGTTGCGTGTAGAGGAGATTTTCGTGAACCAAATCGGCTGTCATCAGGAAATTGCGGCGTTCAGCGAGGTACGTCTGGAAGATGCGCTGTCGCCTCGTATCGTCCTTCTCGAATTCAGCCCAGATGGCTTCGGCATCCAGCGCCGCCCCAGAAAGCGGGACCAGGGATGAAGATTGAACATTAGCAATGCCGGCGGCTTCCTGCAAGTTGACCGCGTCTTGCGTAGAGAGAGGGCCTGTGAGGTGGCTCGCTGGACGGGACTGGAACTCGACAACGGTCGCTCGAAGCGCGGCGACGAGGTTGACTTTTGCATTCTTGCTCAACCATTGCGCATCCTCCTTGATGACCTTGATATCAAATTTGTCATTTGGCGTGGGGGTAACGTGGATGGCGGCGGTCTTGGTCTCGAATTCGGTCTTTGTGGAATCGCTTGGCGGCGCGAAGGCGGTGGCCGGGTCTTTGATGAGGGATCGCACGTATTCGTCTTGCAAAAACTGTATCACAGCTTTGGTTTTTCGTCGCGTATCGTCCTTGTCGGCTAGAGCAGCAGCGACGAGCTTCCAGGAGCTGATGCGTGGTCAGTTGCTGGGCATCAATAAAGTCAACAAATAGCACGGCTACCCACATGACGATGTTGTCTCCATTCAGACATTCCTCCAAAGGAGGAAAATACAGACGGTCCGCCACATTCGCCATTGCCGCAGAGGTCGATTGGGCGAAGCGATCAGGATCCAGTCTGCATCAGGCGAGGCTGCGATGAGCTATGTTGCCTGGGATGCGAGAGAGAAAGCAAGTCGACGCGCTTGTACACTTGGACCCGCGAATGCTTTTGCAGCCTTTCTGATGGTGGTTGGCTGGAGCTCAACTTTTTTGGGAGCTCCAATTCCTGGGTTTTTCCGACAGATGAGTCTAGCCTTTCCCGGACTAGCGCTCCCCAGTACACGCGGTACGTACCGAAAGCTCAATGAAAGAAATGTTCAGTTTGGTCAACTTTCTCATTTTCACAGCTTTCAGAGGTTCAAATTTACAGAATGACTCAGAAAAATTGTCATTTCATCCTCGCAATGTTCCATCACTATGTAATTGAAATATAAGCAATTAGGAGTGGTTGAAAGCCCAAGTGCAGAGTCTGGGGATTGCCTGTGTGACCAAATAGGTAGCCCCGGGGGAACCGGGATGCGATAGCGGCGGGGCACTCTATCAGCGCTTGCCTCCGGCACCGAGGCGCACTGTCTTCTACCGCCAGTTTGCTGGTGGACGCACAGTAAGGTTTAAGCTCCGACATACGGTACCGTCTTCCTTCCTCAACCGCCTTTTCATTTGTACTGCAAACCGTCCCGTTGACTCACTTCAGTCAATCTACACTCACAACTACCGGTATCTTCAACTACTGGTACAACTATCCTCGAGATAGAACGACCACGAGCTCCCAATTGACCCATTTTTCCGAGGCTTGAGTGCGTTTCCAAGATGCCGTCTCTCGATATCATCGATCACTCACCCCACCACCCGGACCCGTCACCACCAATTCCGACGGCATCCAACTTGATTCTCATCGACAATTACGACTCTTTCACCTGGAACGTCTACCAGTACCTGGTTCTCGAAGGCGCAAACGTCACCGTCTTCAGAAATGACAAGATCACGCTCCCTGAGTTGATTGACAAGAAGCCAACTCAATTGATCATTAGCCCTGGACCTGGACATCCCGAGACCGACTCTGGCGTTAGTCGAGATGCCATTAAGCACTTCGCCGGCAAGATCCCCATTTTTGGAGTTTGCATGGGTCAGCAGTGCATTTTCGATGTCTACGGAGGAGAGGTTGGGTCCGCAGGAGAATGGCTCCACGGCAAGACGTCTCCTCTGACACATGATGCCAAGGGTGTGTACGCTGGCCTGCGCCAAGGTCTCCCGGTCACCAGGTACCACTCGCTCGCCGGCACTCGTGTTACTCTGCCGAGTTGCCTCGAAGTCACTTCCTGGGTTGCCACGGCAGACGGCTCACCGGGCATTATTCAAGGTGTTCGACACAAGGAGTACACGATCGAGGGTGTTCAGTTCCATCCCGAGAGTATTCTTACCGCCGATGGTCGTACCATGCTTCGAAACTTCCTGCAGCTTCAGGGCGGCACTTGGGAGGAGAACGAGAAGCTTAAAAAGGGCTCCGCTGCGAGTGGTGAGTCCAAGGTGGTGGCCTCCGCGCCAGCGAAGAAAAACAACATCTTGCAGCAGATCTACGCCCACAGGAAAGCATCCGTTGCCGCTCAAAAGTTGATTCCCTCGCAAAGACCCGCTGATCTCCAAGCCGCCTACGACTTGAACGCCGCTCCGCCTCAGGTCTCTTTCGTCGACCGCTTGCGTCAGACCCCGTTCGATGTTTCCCTCATGGCAGAGATCAAGAGAGCCTCGCCTTCTAAGGGTATCTTTGACATCAACATCAACGCTCCTACGCAGGCAAAGAAGTATGCTCTTGCCGGCGCCAGCGTCATCTCCGTCCTTACCGAGCCAGAGTGGTTCAAGGGAAGCATCGAGGATCTTCGTGCCGTCAGACAAGTTCTGAATGGCATGCCCAACAGACCAGCTATCCTTCGCAAAGAGTTCATCTTTGAGGAATATCAGATTCTTGAGGCAAGACTGGCCGGTGCCGACACCGTGCTTCTGATTGTCAAGATGCTGGAGACGGAGCTGCTGGAGAGGTTATACAAGTACTCCCTGTCATTGGGCATGGAGCCGCTTGTGGAGGTGCAAAACGCCGAGGAGATGACTACTGCACTGGAGCTGGGCGCCAAGGCCATTGGTGTCAATAATCGCAACTTGGAGAGCTTCGAGGTCGACATGAACACAACGAGCAGGCTGAGGAGTATGGTGTCTGAGAACACCGTAATCTGTGCCCTTAGCGGTATCAACAGCCACAAGGACGTTCAAATGTGCAAGAATGACGGCATCAACGCCATTCTCGTTGGCGAGGCTATCGTCAGAGCCCCTGACACCACCAAGTTCATCAGAGAGCTGTGCTCCGGCTCAGACGCCGAGCCTGAGCCGGTTAAGACTCAACCTTTGTTCGTCAAGATCTGCGGCACGAGGACGCCAGAGGCTGCTCTGGAGGCTGTGAAGTCTGGTGCCGACTTTGTCGGAATCTGCCTGGTTCCTGGTGCCAAGCGCTGCATATCCGATGAGACGGCCGCGGCGATTTCAGAGGCAGTCCACTCATATACGCCTGCAGCGACCCGGCAAGAGTCAAGGATACCCACAAAGTCTGCAACAGACTACTACACGGCGTCGGTCTCCAGACTATCAAGCTCTCGCCCGCTGCTCGCGGGTATCTTCCAAAACCAACCACTGGACGAGGTCTTGGAGAAGCAGAAGCGCTTCAACTTGGGTATTGTACAGCTCCATGGAAATGAGCCTATCGAGTGGGCAAACCTCATTCCCGTCCCCGTCATTCGCGCGTTCAAACCCAACTCCATCGGCCTAGGTCTGCGCGGCTATCACACCATCCCATTGCTCGACTCCGGTGCGGGCTCTGGTAAGCTTCTCGACGTCTCTAGCGTCAAGGAAATTTTGGCGAAGGACCCTGAGCTGCAGGTCATTCTGGCGGGTGGTCTGAACCCAGACAACGTGATCGAGGCGGTCAAGGCAGTTGGAGAATTTGGTGATCGCATCGTCGGCGTTGACGTGAGCAGCGGCGTTGAGGAGGACGGCAAGCAGAGCCTGGACAAGATCAGAACATTCATCAAGAATGCGAAGGGCTTCAGGTAGAATGTGAATGGCCATGAGCAAGAAAAGTGATGAACAATAGACAACTACGTCTCGCAAGAAAACATCATGCCCCATTATCGTCTCATCATCACCAAACTGGAAGTCATACTCAACAACCACCTTCCAAGTGCTGGCTCGTGCCTACTTATTTATCTTCCTGGTGGCTCCCACTCAGCCTTCTTTTGGAGATAAATAGTCTGCCCAGCTTGAACAGTGATTTTCTTTTCTTCCCTTCCATCGCGTGAAGATCATATCTGCACAGCGAGGACACAGTGAGATCGGCGATATTTCAACAACATCAGAACGAATCGTCCCAAGAAAAGCAACCACATACCTAGCCCGGAAGACAACGATGGTGGCAGGTATCTTCAAGGACAGGGTTCTCGCGGCCGCTGGCAAAAACGAGCACGAAGTTGAGAAACTCCAGACATGGACCCAGATGCGGAAGGGACGGTTCTCACTTGACATGGACGACTCGGTCACGCACCTTCTCTGTACGGATGAACAATTAAAAAACAGGAACAGGAACAAGAGGAGTACGTCTCAGGTTTTCATATCACTCTCCGTAGCCTCTTAGCCCGGGCCTTTCCTGTTCAGGGTGGCAAACTGTCCGCGTTTGGGTAGAGTACTAACGACTGTGTTTTGCGATTCCAGTTCAAGAAGCCATGCAGAAAAACAAGGTCAAAGACAAGAAGATCAAGATCAAGGTCGTCCACATTGATTGGTTCACATTCTCCTGCACTCACAACAAGAAGCTGCGCGAATGCGACTATGACTTCAAAGCCATCAAACGCAGAGAAGATATCAAGCTCAGGAAGCGGAAAGAAGAGGAGGCCAGGATTCGGAATGCTATGGTTGGCCAGGATTGGATCAACCCTGGTAAGTACATCACTGAAGAGTTGACCAGTTTCCCCCTGAGGTTCCGACACTGACATCTCTAGACCTCTATCGCGTCTTTTCGGACAAGCACCACTTCCGATACGAGATCCAGCTCTTTCGCGACACCGAGGACGAGTATGGCGCCGTGCATGAGAAGTACGAGCTCTACGTTAGTTTTCACAAGCCAGCACCCCGTCACCACGCAAAAGCATGCTAACTCCTTACTATTTCATCAGCTCTTCGAGTCCCATGCAGAACCCCGTCTCTACTGGTTTGGAGCTAAGTTGTACCAGAAGAAGGACGACGGCGTCTGGCGCTTCCGTGCCATAGAACGCACCAGCGCCACCTGCGGAGTCTTCAAGACCGAGTTCGAGCACTTCAAGAACTTCTTCGAAATCAAGACCAAATACCGCTGGGGTGATCGAGTGCTGAAGGCTGGCACTGGGGAGAAGACAGACTTCAGCTATACGCCCCCGGTAAGGACGGCTCCTTCTGCTACGTCCTATTGTTTCTGCATATTTTCCTGTTCCTGTTATCGACCCCCATATCTTGGGCTGAATGGTCTGCTAACATGGGAATCTTAGACTCGAGGCAAGCCTGTCGGAGGCATCCTGACCCCAGGCCTCACCTACTACGACAAGTGCGTCAAGCGCAACATTGAGACCCGCCTTCTCTTTGCCGACCTCTTCGGCGACGAGCTCCCCGCCAACATCCAGATCGACGTTGCCGTGACAGAGCTCCTAAACGAGATCATCGACAAGGCTTGCGCCGCTCATTGCGAGGATCCTTGCGATGGCGTCTATGAGATGCGGTCCACCGAGGTACCAGCCCCTGCTGAGAGAGGTATGCCCTTCGAAAGCGATCACTCCGAAGAAGAGGTATCGGGCGGCACGATCAGCGCTCCCTCGGATAGCATGTCGCAGCTGAGCATTGAAGACACTGACGATAGCCTTGGTAGTAAGCAGGAATGCGAGATGGAGGATGCAACGGCTCCCTCCGTGAACGAAGACGAGAGGTGGCCAACCAACGCTACCCCCTCCGAGGGCCTCACCATGCAGGATTGGTGAAAGGGACACATGGAATGAGTGATCTACACACACTACCCAAAAGATGATTTTCAGGGGCATTTGGATGGCGACCAGGTTGGATGCATGCTAAACGACTTTGGAGGGGGAAACACAGCGAGACACCAGGAGCGAGAAATCTGCTTTTTTTGCATTTGAGAAACACCAAGCTCAAGACTTTCATAGACCTAGAAGACACAGCGCTCTTCGATTTCATTTTCTTCAATAGACCAATCTCGCATTCTTTTAATAACGCTTATGCAACCCTTTCCAGCCCGTTCCCCCAAACGCCTCCCAGAACCCAGCAAAATGTTCACACAAGCTCCCCTCCTCCTTCAGGGGCTAGTATCAAAACCTCAGCTTGGGCATGACAAAGACCAACAGCACCAGCGCGACCATGAGGCCGTACACCCACGCGTACAGCATCATCCTTCCCCACCAGCCCTTCCCCTCCGTCATCCGGCGCAGCGTTCCCATGCGCCGGCTTGCCGCATCCATCCCGCGCTCCGTCTTGTCCATGCCCTCGCCCGCGCGCGAGAGCACGTTCTTGTCCTGCTCCAGCGTGCTCGAGAAGCGCTGCGACGACGCCTTGAGCGCGCCCGCCATCTTGAGGATCGACTCGGACAGCGCGTCCTGCTCCTGGCGCTGCCGGTCCAGCAGCGCCTCCGCGGTCGCCGTCGACGCTGCGCCTGTTGAAGCGGTGGATTTCAGGGTGTTGCTGCGCCGCTGGGCGAAGAGCGCTGCGCGCGCTGTGGATGTTGCCGTTGCCGTGCCCGTCGACGTCGCTGTTTCCGGTTCTGCGGCGGCGGTGGTGTTGGCGGCGCCGCGGGGGCGTAGGGTCTGTGAGGTCGTCGTTGGTGCTAATGTTGATTCCGGCGCCGGTGTGTGTGCTGGTGCCGCCGCCGCTGCTCCCAACGGCGGCGCAAGGTCCGGGATGTCCTCCGCGGAGTCGTCGTCGCCCGTGTCTTCGGTGGGCATGTCCGTGGACCGCGAGTTCGTGCTCTCGCTGGGCGTGGGGATGATCTCGCCGAGGATGTCCTCGCCGTCGGAGCTGTAGTCGTCGTCGTCCTCGTGCAGCTGCTCGAGGTCGTGCATGCGGTCCACCAGCCTCTCGAGCAGCTCGCGCTTGCGGTTGAGGTCGGCCTGCATGTCCTGCCTGCGCGCGAGGAGCTTGACGTGGAGGGCCTCCTGCTCGACGCGGGTCAAGAGGCTGCGTGCGTAGTCCAGATTCTGTACGGGTTTCCGCAAGTCAGTCGCTTGTGTGGGAGGATCACCTCTCGAGTAGAGGAGGGGGCCAAACGACAGACACTCACCGAGTTCAGCCTCGCCCTCTCGAACTCGCTCGCGCGCAACCTCCTTTCGCGATCATGGTCTGCGTGCAGGATCGTCTGGTCGAGGCGGCGGAGCAGCTGGCTCAGTTCCGCGACGCCGCGCTCCGGGGGCGCGGGCGCCGACGTCGACGATGACAGCCGCGCCATGGTTCACTTTCGTATGTTGCACTTCCTTTTTCTCGTCACTCGTAATCGTATCTTTCTTTTACTCGTATCCTGCGGGAATGGCGGCTGTAGGGGCGGGCGAAAACGGTTTTGACAGGGTGTCTGAAGCTGATGATGTCGTTGGAGGGGGGGTCCAAGCCACGGTGGCTGAAGCTCTATCGCATTGCGGTCGCGCACGGGCCATGCTCAAAGTAAAGTGCAGAATCCCATGTCGCTGAGGATTCACATGCATGAGTCTTCTTCTGCCCACGCAACTCAGCGACGAACCTACTTGTCCGTTCTAGCCATACACTCTTGGGGAACCGGGCAAACTATCCCAACGATTTGGATCTCTCGTCGGCGGGTGATAGGTCTCATGAAATCAACTACGCCTCAAGCAACGCGTCTTCGACTCGTAAGAACAGACACGTGAAACGCCGTCAGCTGATCACTTTTTCTCGTGTAAGCTCTGTCCCCATCCCCATATTACACGAGACCAGCCGATGTGAATGATACTCTGCTGCTGCCTCCTTCGTGTATCTTACTCAGGCATCCCATACACAATGTCCTTTGTCTAAGACGATGTGCGTGAGATCATCCGAAGCTTTAGTTTTGATTGTGATGCCTTGCATGCCGCATCATCACAGGACGTCAGTGCCGTAGGAGTAGACCTGTTCGTCCAAGAAATGGGCAAGTCCGAGCTTAAACACGCTCCCTCGCCATCTGATGCGAATACAGCAGTAGATGGCGGCGTGTGGATAGGCAGAAAGGAGCATGAGTGATCAACCTCGTCTGGACTATCTGTTGCCGGATGAGGCGCTTCACTTCTTCTGCGCCTGCGGAAGGTTAATGAGACTCAGATTGCTGCAACACCAAAACAGATCAAGATGGCCACTAGTCAAAGGCGACTATGGTGTGCAGCAAGTTATGTGAATCGGAGGCGTTTTAACATCATCAGCTTTTATCTCCTACTAATGTTGCTGTGCCACTCCCACGAAGACGAACACCACAATGTTGCCGTCGGGGCCAATATTTCACTCATGTCTTAGCAGCCGCCATTTCAAGGCGTAGTCAGTGTCTTCTACATCCTCAATGCTGAGGAAAGAGGAGATCTTGCATGGATTGCGTTTCCATTTCACCTTCAGCTGGCATAGCCTTCAGGTACCATTGCCACTCACTACAGGTTGACGCCCAAACTCACGGAGCCAGGTCCGAATGAGCTCGAGATGCCTGAACTTTAGTCAAGTTACAGTGGCCTTCGAGGAAGAATTCTACCACGCAAGTAATTTCAGCCGCAGCTTCATGAGTTGCGGTGATTCCAGGTCCGCTTAGTCAAGACCTCTCATGTAGATGATTTGCTGAGTCAACTCGCGCAATGGACGTTCCGAAGTAGTGCGGAGCACTACCTTTGGGCCCTGACTTACAGCCAATGCAGCCAAGGCAGTTGGGGTGCCTTCGGTCTACAGATCCAATTCTGCTTGACGTATCTTGCAAGATGTCAACTTGCCTTTGCCAACGCTGGTGTTTTGTCTAGAAAAATTGTACTGCCAAGCCGCCCACTGTCACATGAGAGAACATTGACAAGCCGTCTTGAGAAACAGGCTTCAACCTTTCTTGAAAGCGCCGATCCTTCGTACAGGCCCACGTCAAGCTGCCATCGCCCCAACAGTGGTTCAAAAAATCATGGCAACAAGAACACAATGATTTGTAGTGTCGGCGATGCTGGAGTCCGTTATCACTGCCTTGCGCATGGCATGTGGCCAACTCACAGAGTCCCGACTACTCCGAGCCTCCACACCTGCGCAAGTCGCGCATCGCAAGATGTCAGCATCGTGGCAGGTCGTGCGCGCATGATGTGAACGGTGGTGGCTATGCCCTCCTTCTTCTTCCTTCTACCCCGCGTTTGTTTTCAGGTATAACCGGTTCCTGGATGGGTTTCCTGTTACCTATCATGGAGGGGAAGTTGTCATTGTGCGTTGGCGTTCGTGTGTGTGAGTGCATTGCTGCCATTCCATTCAGCCCTGCAGACACGGGAGAATTTTCCGTTTCAGCAGTTAGCCTGTTTCATTTCCTGCAGCTGTATTGCAGATTCGTGTAGATCGATTTCTCTCTCAACCGTAGTCTTGCTGGCAGCGTCAGAGAATTGTGACGACAAGAAAGAGCGCTTGCTATTGGGTGCGACGGGGCGAATTGGCGACCAGATGACGAGGCTCTACCGCTCTGCGCCACATCTTGTTCGGCTGACCGGCCGAAATGTGCGCCGCGGGAGGACGTCATGGCAAAGTGATGCTGGAGGCAACTTTTCCCTCTGCAAATCCAAGTTGGAGGGACTTACACGAGACTCGCAGGCCTAGCTGCGTGGTGAAGCAACATACAACCCGACGAGGGGAAGTTGCTGTGCGTCCCTGCATGATGAAAAAAGTTGGTGCTAATTATGGAAACGGGATGAACCCGGTATTGGCTGGAGCAGCTCGTTGACGGCATGATGAAGGGTCTTCGCAATGGTACGTATCTTGTGGCGTGGTATGAACTAATAAAGCGGTGGCCGTGGGCGGCAGACGCCGACATTGGACGGGAGGGCGGGAGGTGACAGCAGCCAGGAAGAGCATCGGGGCAAAGCTCAAAAGAGCCCTTGAGGCCGTTGACATAAACTTGGCGGGGACGGTGGCATCGTCGTCGAAGCCGGAGGTGCACGACGTCATTGGGTAGCTGTGGGGGGGAGCCTTCAAGTGAGTGGAACATCTGGCAAGGAAGATACCCGTGGGATACCGCGCGGGTGGCTGGAAGATTCTTCTAGCGGTAAGTAGCAGCAGGGTATCGGGAAGCCACCAGGACACTGGACCCGCCAGTCCCTGAAGACGGAGCTGGGAGGCTAGCTGACTGGTTGGACCGATGGATGTTCGGCAAGATCCAGCATCTAGGCTCTGTGGAGGTTGGAAAGGTTGGACTGGGATGATTTTGGGTTGCGCTGCCTCGCTGCGTCCGCGAGGTCAATTAGCGAGCGGTGACTCACACCCGTTCGAGTTGTCCGAGGGTTCAATATTCGTTCCTTCTCTGTCTTTAATGGTTTCCGGACATAGGAGCAAATCCCCAAACACTGCCAAAGCTGTCAGATCGGCCTTTAGTTGAAAAGTGCCTTGGCCGATTGGTCAAACTGCTCGATACTGCAGGCTAGGAGAGGCGCGTCCAGGGCCGAAAGGCTAGACTCTTCCCGCCGCAGGTGAGCGCTGCAGGCGAATGCTTGGAAGTGGCATGGTGTCTGGCCACGGCAAACCTGCGTAGAGCGATCGGCCGAGGTACGAATACTGCCTGGCTTTCAGAACCGAATTCCCGTGCTCCAAAAATCCGATGGAAATTTCTGAACGAGACAATACCACGTCGGGCAGGGCCGAAGGGAAGGGCGTCGGAAGTAAAGAGTTTGGTCCCTGAGGTTGCATTGCACCGTACAGATGTAGACGCGGGCGTTAGGTAGAGCACAGAAAACCCGAAGAACCTGCGATTGCGACTTCAGGTCGGTACCTCTGCCCTACGGGGGGCGCCATGCTGCACTAGACGGCTTGTATTAGGTTGCCGGCGGGCCTGACGTTGTCGACTTTGTGCGAGGCCCTGGTATTCCAGCAAGACCAACGACGACGTCGGCCGAGGATGGCTGCAAGGTGTGGCGGCGGAATCGGTACAGCTCCATCCGGCAGGAGGCTTAGCTCGGCGCTGGAGGAAAGATCGACGGCGGCTTTTGCCAATTCAGAAGTCGGGGCTCGGGCTAGGCCAGGGAACAGACTGCGACCTGAGGTCAAATCAGGACTTGAAGCTCCTGATCAGGAGTAGGAGGAACTGAAGACAGAAATAAATGATGTAGTGACGTGATGATTGTAGCATCGGACGGGCAGAGCTGGGCAAAGCAAAGCAAGTCTGAGCCTGGATGTTGTTGGAGGCGGGCGTCGCGAGGTCCACCGGCCGAAAGCGGGCAGTATCCAGGCTGCGGAATGGGATACCGGGCTCCAGTCCGAGATACGGGAGGTCAAACAAAGAAATCTGATCAGATCAGGCCGTCCGTGGGAGCCCGGTGGGTGAGACGGCTGTGTGAGACAACTGTGAGCTGCCGGTTGGTGGTGAATCAAGGCAATGGCGTGGGAGGAGGAATTCGATGTCGTTGGATGGGGAATGGGAATGTCCCGCGGAGTCAACATTCGACGCTGCGGCCGTGTCGTCGGGGCAAGGTGATTTTTGACGTTGGAGAGTTTAATATCACGGTTGTCGGCTGGCGTGATAGTGCGGACGTCGCGTGCCACGGTTCATCAGCGGGCTTTCTTTTTCCTGTTCAATTGGCAATGTGAAAAGCACGCATTATTGAGTAGAGGAATTGGTCGAGAAGGAACCAGAGCCCGGGGTGCGTCTGTCAGTTGCCGTTGGATTGGACGAGACGGGCCGGAGGAGCAGGTGCCAATGCAGGTACCTCGGCGGCGCACTTGCATTTCGAAGTAAGTACCTACTTCTTACCTTCCTTCCATTCCGTAGGTAGGTAGGTATGTAGGTACCTACCTACCTTCCATAAGGTAGAGAACCTAAGCAGACGCAGTGCCTGCCTGGCGCTTGCTGCCGGGTGGTAGGTACCTAGGTAGGTAGTCCTCACCTCAGGTTTCCCGCCTGATTAAGGCTCGTCAGCCAGCACTTTTCGTTTCGCGGGATGTGGATGTGGTCGTAGCCGGCCGGGCGGGAAATTGGGGGAGGAAATGAGTGAGCATGGTGATGTCGAGTGCGTGTTTGTTTTGCTTTTTGTAAAATTGTTTTTTGTTATTATTGACCACTGACCACCAGTGTTTTGATCCTTCGGGTTTGTTGCTGCAGACGGCAGTGTCTGTTTTGAGCGCCCAAGCTCCATTTCGAGGTCCAACCTGTTCACCCGCGAACCACTGGGACTGGGACCAACGAGCAATAACCATGGATGAACCATCGCCAGCCACTGCATGGAGGCTGCGGCTAGGAGGGGCAGCCCAGGCTTGACTCGCGAGACTTTCAACGACAGCGGGAGACCTGTCGGAGAAGGCTGAAGAGGGGAAGAGGGGCCTTGCCAGCGTCTGCTTCTGCTGCTCCAAGGCGTCGATATAATTAGGATTGCAGGAAGCACTGCACTCGCTGCACCCGCTCAAGGAGTGAATGAGTGTTCAGCATCGTTGGCAGCTGCAGTGTATCCGTACCGTGATATCGACCTTCCATGGATAAGGTAGCTGTCAGCAGGCCACCCACCACCACCACCACCACCACCACAGCCGCAGTACCCGTGGGAGCCCCCGGGTGCCGTGTGTTTGGCCACACCTTATTCTGCTTCCTTGCCGTGCCGCGTGTGAAATCTCTGCCCGCTCATGAGTTCTGCCAGGAGGTATCCGTACTGCTGCAGTTTTTGGAGGATCAATGTTTTTGATTCAAGTGAAAACCCTCAGCGGGGAGGGAAGAGACAGGCTCCACTGCTCTTGTGGTCACCCAAGAGGCCCAGGTACCTAAGTAGTAGTCCAGTCTCATTTTGCCGTAAAGTAGGTACCTAACTACCTTCCCTCTTCTTCCCTCGCTCCCCCAGCATTCACTTGATCCTTCCTGGCGGCGCCCCACTGAGCCAAAATAATCCAAGCACACTCCCACCAGTGACGCTGGACCGACCACGCTCATCAGTCCCGGCAGCGGTGCAGCAGCATCTCAACGTCCCACGTCCCACGTAACTGCGCATCAGTAGCGGGCAGTAGCACCTTCTGTCCGCTGCACGCCTCGGGTCTCGACTCGTCGCTCTCTCCACCCGCCAGAGGGCCTGGGCTCTTGGAGACGACGATTCCTGCGGTAAAAGGGAAGGGCAAGACGGAAACCTGCCCTGCCCTCTCTCTGTCCCCTCCAGGAGTCCAGGGCTCTCGATGCCCGCCAGTCCCGTTCCCACTCCCGCTCCCACTCTCCGTCCGTTTGCTGCTGTTTGCTCCCATTGGGAATCTGGGATTGAAATGCTCCACGACGAACGCTGTTTTTCCAGAGCCAAAGATTGGGATTGGCTCGGTACTGCGCCCACCCCTCGTGCTCATCCTCATCCTCGTCTTCGGCCCTCGTCGGGGTGGACGCTGGGACTGCCCTACCAGACCACCTGACTGACGATAACCCTGTCGACGGGCGGTAACCCTGTATCTTCAAGGGCCTTGGGGTCATTCATCCCGTATTGTCGCCTGCGTCTGTTTCTCGCTTCTGTGGCTGCTCCGTACTGCTGCTACTGCTGCTGCTGCTGCTGCTGCTGATGACTTGCCGTGGACATGGGTTTGTCTTTCTGCTGTGCTCTGGATATCTATCGTTTTGTGGCTGTGATTATTGGTGGTGCTTGGGGTCTCGAGCTCATCCCGCATCATGGACAACACGACGACGTACATGTTTCCTCGCATGGCATGGCATCATGGAGCGAACAACAGACGAGGACTGGCAATCCAGAGTATCCATTCGTAGGTAGGTAATCAGGTTCCTAAGGTATGGAGAACTGGATCCGGCATTGCACAACTCTCCCGCCTTACTCACCTGCTCTCCATCCCGCCTTGCCGACTTGGGCCGTCTGCCTTGGAGTGCCTGTAACCTTGCGCAGTAGTAGACGTGCTAGTAGGCAAAAAGCTACCTGACCGGCGGGCTTTAATCAAAATAAAAAATAAAGAAAGAGTCTGGATTCATCACCACTGACGACAGCCGTCAATGGCATGGCACACTCATAATACATCGATGGATACTTCGTACAGACCACCCACCCACAGTGACTGAGACTGACTGACGGACTGCACACCACCACCACCACCACCACCCCATTGACATTCATTTTGCCTTGCCGTGCATTGCCTCAACGCATCTCTCCCAAAAACCCATGGAAGTCAGCATCCAGCAGCACAAGACCATAGTATCCCCCGACCTCAAGGCACCTTACGCACACACGCACCTGCGCCCGGGCTGCCTGGACCTGGGACCTGGACCTGGACCTGGACTTGGACCTGGACCATCTGCCCTGCACTTGCACTTGCACCTGCGCCTGCACCTGTTCCTCACTGGCTGGCTGGCTGGCTTGCTTGGGCACTCACTTGTACCAGCAACCTACCACCACCACCACCACCACAACCATTGCTCCCACCAGCGGCAACAAGCACCTACCTGCATACCCCCCTCCGTCTCCCACTCCCCATACCTTACCACCTGGACCTCTCGTCTGCTTCGACCTCCTCTTACCTTTTACCTCACCTTACTCACCTTCCCACTCGCTTACCTTACCGTACCGGACCTGTACCTGAACTCCTGCCTTTTACCCCTTCTTCTCGACCTCGTCCCAAACTCTCTCCCAAAACCCACAGCGTCTGTCTTGTTTTGCCATTCTTGCCGACGATTCTATTCCACGGGGACACCAACCTGTGCTTCGCGCGCGTTGATCGGAAACGTCACTCGCTTTCATCATTGTCTGTCGTTGAAATCCCACTAACGTACAGCTCTTGTCTTACCGACACCCGCCGATACAACACCTTACCCCCCCAAGACCAGCTCCGCATCATCGTCGCCTACCACTTACTGTCTTTGGCCAGCCCTGCCCAAGAACACTTGGGACTGTTACCTACTTTACCTCTTCGCGGACGCTCCTTCGTCATTCGCTCCCACCTCACCCTCTGCTCCAGTTCATGGCCAGCATTTCCTCCATGACACCGACACCACGGTAGACCAGGAAAACAGAAAACCACGCCGAAATACACACATTCGCTGGAGCGCTTCATTCGACAAAGGAAACCACTCGCGCGCCAAAAGAACAACCCCACGCCCAATTACCGCCTGCGCGTCGCATCCAATCCTAGCGCATGCTCACACCCAATACCTTCCCAGCGACCTAACCCAGTGCAAAACACCACCAAGCGACCAGGCGAGCCGACCGACCGACCATATCCCCAGACGAAACTGGCTGCATCGACTTTGCCCCCGATCGCTCTTGCTCAATTTCTCCTTCGTTTTCGGTCGCCAGACGCCCCGCCCATCTCTATTTCCCGCGAACTGCAATCCCGACGCTGGCTCCTACACGATAATCGAGCTCCCACCATCTGCGTCCCGTCATTGCGATGACGTCCGCCGCTCCTCCCCCAAACCAGGCCTTCCAGCCCTCGACCGGCACCTCGACCGCGACCGCCGGACCTGCGACCCCAAACAAGAGAGACTTGAAGTCGTGGTGGAAGGGCTTCAAGCTGCCTTCAAAACACCAGGAACACCATGGTAGACACCCTTCTACTTTCGCATCAAAACACTCGCCCCCAGCACAACCCCTCTTCAGTGAAGATGTCGACGACCAAATGGATACGTCGCCTGTCCCGCTCGATTTTGTCCTGCTATTACAAGACAGGCATGTTATTGAGCCGGTCGACCCTCTTCCGCCCAGAATCGTCGCTTCAAGTGATGCGACAGCTCCCACCACCACCACCACCACCACCACTAGCCGGGTGGATGTGCTGAACAGGATGTCCCTGTCCGTCACTCAGCCTGTGCGCCAGTGTGCCAAGCGGATCCGCGCAGCTATGACTTCCTCCTTTACTTCAAGAGCTAAACGAAATACAGCAGAGACTCGACCTCACGGCATCTTTGGTGTCCCTCTCCGCCAGAGCATCACATATGCCAACGTCGCAATCTCACTCGTCGATGAGAACGGAAAGAGCTACATTTATGGCTACGTACCGATTGTCGTCGCCAAGTGTGGCGTATTCTTGAAGGAGAAGGGTGAGTTCGCGCAACCCGAGTCGGGCCAGTCTTCATACTCACCTTCATTGCAGCTACGACTGTGGAGGGCATCTTCCGTCTCAGTGGCTCTGAGAAGCGCATCAAGGAGCTGAAACAAATCTTTGATTCCCCCGATCGTTACGGCAAGGGCCTGGTTTGGGATAACTACACCGTTCATGATGCCGCCAACGTTCTTCGACGATACCTCAACGACCTCCCAGAGCCAGTTGTGCCGCTGGATTTGTACGAGAAGTTCAGAGAGCCTTTGCGAGGTTCTACCAGGCAAGCAGCCGGCGACGCTGACGGCCCGCAATTCGTGGAGAACTTTGACGAGCAAGCCGCGATTGCCAAGTACCAGAAACTCATCACGGAACTGCCACCACTGAACCGCCAGTTATTGCTTTACATTTTGGATCTGTTGGCTGTGTTTGCCGCTAAGTCGGAGGAGAACAGGATGAACTCTCAGAACCTCGCCGCCATCTTCCAGCCCGGCATGTTGTCGCATCCGCAGCACGCAATGGCACCCGAGGAATACCGTCTGAACCAGCATGTCCTTATATTCTTGATTGAGAACCAGGATCACTTCTTGATCGGCATGCAGGGCACGGCCACCGACGAGAAGACAAAGCAGTTGATTGAAAAGGGTACACCCCCACCTGCGGCTGGACCAGTCACCCCCAACCCGAACAGAAAGGCCTCGGGCTTGGGAAGGTCTGCTTCTAACGCGAGCGCAGGTGCTGAGAGCGTGAGGAGAGATGGGATGCTTCGTAGGAACCGATCGACGTCCTCGCGACACTCGCACCACGACGGCTCGACGACGCCGAACAGCCCTGCGCTCGCGCCGACTCCGAACAGCGGTCTCGGTAGAAGCAACACCGTCCCGTCCAAGAAGTCTCCCGCTCTTCAGGGCGGAAGGTTCAGGCGCGATGCATCGCCGATCCCTGGATCATCCCCTAGGATTCCGTCAACGACCGAGGAGCTTGCTGAGGTACCCGACCAGTCCCCTTCGGCCTCCACTATTTCGCCTGCGCCCGCCGCGATCGGAACCTCCACGTTGGCTCCCAATGCTGCCGGGAACGCAGGAAGGAGCCAGGAAAGGCTACTTGACCCACACGAGGCTACGACTCCCGTCAAAGAGAGAACGCTGCCCAGCATCTTCCAAAGATCCCCCACCGGGGAGGGCGAGAAACGGCAGCCGAACAAGCTGAAGAAGAAGCGGATACCCGGAAGTTTGAACCCTAGCGCGCAAAGTTCCGCCGCGTCTTTAGGTACGCATTCTGCTGCTGTTTCGCCAAGCGTTGAGGCCCCGAACCCTTTGGAGCAGGTGGGAGGACCGATCCCTGAGCATGATGCCCTTCCCATCAGACAGCAACCCAATGCAGGTGACACACCCTCGGAACCTACTCCGCGCGCCTCCCAAGTCCCCTCAACCAACACACTGCATGTTGAGCAAACCCTGAAGGCCAAGAAGTCGCCACCAACCTCGCTTCATTCATCTTTTAACGAAGGTTCTGACATTGATCAGAATGAGGAGTCCATCATGACGACGTCGGCAGAGGCGATAGAGCAGGAAAAGGAGAAGAAGAGAAGGTGGAGGCTTTCTCGCCAAAGAAAGGACGACGGTCACCCCGGCATCACGTCGCCCCGTCTGGCATTTGGTTCTAACGATAACGCCGATGTCAGTGTTACTTCCATCGGTAGTGGAGGCTACAAGCCCCGCAAGAGTTTTACTGGTGAGAGCTCTGAGCAAGGCATGCACAACTCTGAGAGCAACGAATCTGGCAGGGATAGGGACGGCAAGGACGAATCCAAGGGCCCGATCGGTTGGATTAGGAACAAATACCGTGAGGCTAAGGAGAGCGCCGCCGAGAAGAGAAACAAGTCACCCCCAGCAGATCGGCAGTCGTCTTTGGGCGGCTCTAGCATCATGTCTGGTCGAGGCAAGAGCTTGGATATCCGAAGAGAGCCGGAGGAGAAGGTTCAGCATCCTGCTCTGCCTTCTTCGCCGCCTCAAGGGCCTACAGCTCACCCGCAGGCAGCACCGGCTCAGGCCCCTCAGCCTCAGTCAGCCCAGTCTCCCGTCCAGCAAGCAACACAACCAGCGGCTGCCCCAACCCAGGCCCAGGCCCCGGCCCCTCTCTCGCAGCCCGCTCCGGCACAAGCCACACAAACAACAGAACCGCCGGCTAAGGCCGAATAACCGCGGTAGTTATGACGACATTCGAATATCGAACATGATGCGCATGGGGGTGTTTTGGCAAAGTCTGGGGATTACTTGGTATCTTTGGACATGATGAGGCACGTTCAGGGTTTGAAAGAGCAAACAGAGGTGTAGACGGAAAACTCTCTCTTCCAGAGGTTCACCTTGATATCATATGGTGGCACGTTTGTGAATCATAGTGTATGGAGTTGTATTCTGTGGCTTGGTGTCAGCGAAGCATTGCCCACGGGCTCGCTCGTCTCATGAAGGGATCATTGTCAAGTAGGCGTTGTCGAGTGAAGGCGGGTCCCCTAACGTTCATGGGATTACGTACGTATTCATGGTCTAGGAAAAGAAAAGACTTTTGCATTTCAAATATGTTTGACGATGTGACGTGTGATGGGACGGACTCTTGGCTTCGGCAGGGGCCTATCGCCCTTGTAGGCGCGTTTGCACGAATGGGATAGACACCGCAGCCAACATCTCTTTGCATGATAAGTTTCATAAGCTGACCTTTGCGTACTTCTTCTATCCACATACAATTCGTGAGGCTGAGAAGCTGTATAATTACACATATATTTACAGTCTCCGATCTAGCGATCTAGGAAGCTTCTTTGCATTCCAAGCAGGGAATGCGAAGTCTACATATTTGTGTCCATGCCGTGCGTTGTGTTGGTACAAGTTTCTTGGAAAATCAACGCTTTTCTTCTTCTACTCTTGTCACTGTTTTTTCTCATGACTTGGTGGTGTACAGTCCCGTGTCCCAGACGACGAGCTTCCCGCGCCTCCGGGAGTCCTCGTTGAAGAAGCCGTTCCAGCCCTGCCAGACGCGCTTCGGGGCTACGCCGAGGTGCTTGCCGGCGCCGCGGAGGAAGAAGTCGGCGAGCCAGGGCTCGATGCCCTCGAAGCCGATGATGTAGCGGGGAATCTGCTCTGCCGTGGCCGCCGTCGTCGAGGAGGATGTTGGCCAGAGCTCGGTGGACATGAAGAGCTGGGGGTCGTCGTAGAAGCGGTCTGCCTCGTCGCGGTAGTTGAGGCGTTCCGGGGAGTTGGGCGCGGTGTGGAGGGGCGGCTCGCAGGTGAGCGCGCGGGCGCGGAGGGAGGGGTGGTGGAGGTGGGAGCGCCAGGGGGTGGTGTGGCAGGGGGTTAGGAAGAGGGCGAAGAGCTCGTCTGAGGCCGTGGTGTTGTGGGCGAGGGATGTAGCTGCCGTGGGTGAGGATGTCGGGTTTTGGCGGGCGTAGGTTTTGCGGAGGTAGGCGAGGACGGTCAGGGGCGCGGGCTGGTGGAGGAGGGTGAGGAAGAAGGCGAGGAGGGCGTGGAGGGCGAGGGCGAGGGTGAGGAGCCTCTTGCGGCGGAGACGCGGTTTGGGGAGGGGACTTTTTGCGGTTGGTGGTGGTGGCGGGGTCGTGAAGAAGGAGGCCAGGGGCGCGGCGGCGAGGACGTGGAGGATGGGGAGGAGGGGGTAGATGAAGCGGACCTCTTTGTGGGAGATGAGGGAGAGGGCGGCTATCGTGACGTAGACGGTCCAGGAGAGGGTTTTGAGGGTCTGGTTGCGGAGCTTGGAGGATGTCGAGGGGGGTTTGTAGAGGGAGAGGAGGACGAAGGGGAGATAGGCGATGGAGAGGAGGGGGAGGCCCTGGGAGAGGTAGTAGTGCCAGTCGTTGCGGCCGTAGAAGACGGCGAGGGACTGGGAGATGTTGAAGTAGAGGAATTTGTACGGCGGGAAGGTCCACTCGCCGAAGTAGAGACGGTCGGAGGCGAGGGAGAGAGTGAGGGCGAGGGCGCCGCAGAGGAGGGCCTCACGGAGGAGGATGAGTACGGTCGAGGGGGTGAGGACGGAGCGGGCGAAGAGAGGCCGGGTGAGTGTCGCGAGGACGACGGTGGCCCAGATGAGGACGTTGGTTGGGCGGAGCAAGACGGCGACGGCGGCGAGCAGGATCGAGAGACGGAGGTTCGTGAGCGTTCCTGGGGTGTTGAGGATGGAGCCGCCGGACGGCTTTGGGTTCTCCTTTGTGAGCTTGGGCTCGCCGAGGAGTTCCCAGGGGAAGTAGTTCAGGGCGGCGATGGTCAGAATGGTCTCGAGGGAGTTTGAGAACGTCCTGGTTGAGCAGTACCACTGGAACGGGCTGAACATGCTCATGAAGAGCTGCGAGATGTGTGAGCATGAGGTCTCTCGGGTGTTGTGGTGTGAGGCAGTGTTAGTGAGAGTGAGACTTACAGCGAACCATGAGACGGAGCTGTCAGCGCCGTAGATCTTGACGGCGAGTTGCCAGGTGTACCAGTCACCGGCGGCAGCGAAGACGGCCTGGGTGGCCTTTGGGGCGGCGAGGAGCAGCCATGATCGTGCGGCGACTGGGAGAGGTCTACCCACGAGGTCTGCGATGGTGTAGACTCCGGCGAAGAGGGCGGGATGGAGGGAGGAGCGGAGCTGGTACTTCCATTCCTGAGTGCAGTGTCAGTACCCACTCGTCGGCAAAGAAAGATACAAGCAAAGATGGGGGTTGCTTTCAATGATGATAGTTGAATATGACAATTACAAATTGTAATTGCAACTCAACAACCCACGCTTCGTGAGAGAAACAGAGAAACGAGGGGGAAAAATGAAAAACTCACCCATGTAATCCATGCACCGCTCCCCTCACCAAAGGCCATGCCCCATGCGGGCTCGAGGGCCTGGAAGTACTCGTCGGGCTGGAAGAAGGTGAGGACCCACCAGGCGTTGAGCAGACGGATGACGAGGAGGTGCCGGAAGACGGAGGGCTTGTTGTGCTCGTTACGAACTGCCATTAGGAGTTCGGGGCGGGGCGAGGAGCCGACGGAAGCCATTGTGGATACGCGCTTGGCACGGTGCTGGAGCGGTGTTTGCTGAGCGGTGGCCGGCGGCGGCAGCGGCGGACGGGGGTGTTTGGAGGTCGGAAGGCCGCTATTGCGTAATCATCGGTCGGACGGCAAAAATGGGAATGGGGGGGACGGGGCGCTGTGTGCTGTGTGCTGCGTGGGATGGGAATCGAGTCAGGAGGCACACACACAGCAGATGCACACACGCACACACGTCTGAGGATGTGAAGAGGCGTGTATGCGTAGAAGGACGAGGCAAACGGTGTGCGGTACGTGCGTTGCGGACGGTTGGTGTCGTGACGAATCCTGACTTGCAGGTTTGATCACTTTTCCCCCTTTTTTCTCCCCTTCTCGTCTCGGTCTCGGGAGAGGAAGGATTTGCTGTTGGGCTTGATGCCGACCTAGGCAGAGGAGGAAGAGGGTGAGCGGGTTGCTTGATCGCTAATGGAATGTCGAGACGAGGTTGGGAAGGACGGATTACTGGCGCAAAAACAGCGAATGGGACGATGGTCAGGCCCCCCCAAGTTTCACTGACAGGGCGCCGTTCACGTTCTCAGGTCGCCAGGCATTCTTGTTGGCCGCTAAAACCGAGCCGTCGAGGCCTGGAAGAAGGAAGGGAACGGGGAACCAGGTGCCACCACCTAATCCAAAACCTCGATTATCAGGCACGAGGTCCAATGGGTATCCACCTTTCTTTGGCCACCGCAGGCTCTCCTATTGGCTCCCCAAGGGGCACCCATCGTAGAGACGCCTCCCATTGGCTCCGAACGGCGGGAGTTGAAATAGGTGCGCCATCATTGGGCAAGACCGCTCTCTTTCCGTGGAGCGTCTTCGAGTCCACCACTGTCTTCGGACTCGGCAGCTAAGGGACGGTCACAGCATTCAATCAATCCCCACGGGCACTACGGCGTGTCACTTTACCGTCTCCTTCTTATCTGGCCGTTGACCCAATGGCGCAGCTCTGAATTACATCAGGCGAACGAACCCTGACAGTACACAAAAAGCAAAGTAACGTCAAAGATTACAGATGATGTGATAGCGTAGATAGGGACCTCTCGTTGGTCCAAATGCACCGGCGCAGCTTCACGGACTGGGTCCCGTTATCGGCGCCGCCTTCTTTCCTCTGGTTTCCCCTCTTTCCTTCCTTCATTCCCGGCCCCGCCAATCAACCACACTCAACCAGCAGCCCGTCCGTCGGCAGTAAGGCAGAGAAGGCTGGAAGGAAGGAAGGGGGGTTCGGTTCTTGTTGGTTGTCTCCCACGTTTTGATTCATCTGTTGCGTCACTCCAACATTCCAACACCACCACCACCACCAACGACCTGCCTCAGTACATACCTTCGCGGCGACACCGAGCAACGAAAACCATTACAAACAGAAACACTGGCGCCGCTTTCCCTCGGCCGCTTTCGAACTTGGATTTTATTTTCGTTGGCACCACACACGCACACGCACACCCCATACGGCCCATGTGACCGCAATTGGGAACATGGGATACACCGGGATGCTTTCCCTTAACCTGGCCCCCTTCGGGCGTCATCCTGCCCACTCACCCACTTGAGCCGCTTATACCTGCGCTTAGGGGAACATACCTGCACTTAGAGGCATAGCGGCACGCCTCTGACTCCGACACCAAGAGTTTGGTTCCAGGTCATGGCCCGCGTCTTACGCTTCAGCTTTCGACATGCCATGTCATGTTTTTCCTTCTTGGTGGTCCATTTGCTCATTTTTTCACGACCTGATACCCGCCTCCGGCCGCTTTGTTGAGCGTGCTGGCCGTTGCCGCCGCCGCCGCCGCCCGCTTGCCCGCTCGCCTCCCTCTTCCTGGCCTGCTTGCTTGTCACGGTCCATGGTCGCTTTCTGCTTGACCGACCCTATCCCATGTCATGTTCATTCTGTCTGCCTGGCCTTGTTCTTTTAGTCAAGGACGCCCCCAAAGTCTGGGACCCATGTGCCGTCAGGGTATATTAAGCAAAGACCCCGCGATTTGCCCCTCGTCCCGGTCTTCCCTCCTCTTTGACTGTTTTCCTCTACCGAAAACCTTACTCCAACAGCCACCTGTCCCAAAGACACACTCTCTTTCTGACAACACGAATTGATGACCCCCAAACCCAATTGATACTCTCAACTTGTCTTTCCCCTGCCACTTCGTACTCTACGATACCCAAACAAACCACACAACTCTGAACCACCCAACCAACCAACTTACACCATGGCTCCCCACGCAAACGGCGGCGCCCCTCAGTCCAACGGCACCGCCTCCAGGTACCATGCCTCCTCCACCGACGGCGCGATCAAGACCGAGAACGAGTATGCCGCCCACAACTACCACCCTCTGCCCGTCGTCTTCTCCCGCGCGAGCGGCGTCCACGTCTGGGACCCCGAGGGCCGCCAGTACCTCGACTTCCTCTCCGCCTACAGCGCCGTCAACCAGGGCCATTGCCACCCGGAGCTCGTCAAGGCTCTGACCGAGCAGGCCGGCCGTCTGACCCTCAGCTCGCGCGCCTTCTACAACGATGTCTTCCCTAAGTGGGCCGAGAAGATCCGCGACGTGTTCGGCTACGATATGGTCCTGCCCATGAACACGGGTGCTGAGGCCGTCGAAACCGCCATCAAGATTGCGCGCAAGTGGGCTTACAAGGTGAAGGGCGTCGAGCAGGGCAAGGCGCTGGTCTTTTCTGTCAACGACAACTTCCACGGCCGCACGGTTAGTATACTCTTGCAGTACGATGTGTGCGTGTTGCGCGGGACTTCGAAGCTAAGCATTGGAAAACCAGATGACCGCCATCTCGCTGTCAATCGACCCCGAGTCGAGAGACAACTACGGCCCCTACGTTCCCGGTATTGGCGCCGTGAACCCCTCCACCGGCAAGCCGATCCGCTACAACAACGTCGCCGATATCGAGGAGGTCTTTGAGGCGCACGGCAAGGACACCGCCGCCATCATCATCGAGCCGATTCAAGGCGAGGCCGGCGTCGTCGTGCCGGACGACGACTACCTCGTCAAGGTCTCGGAGCTGTGCAAGAAGCACAACGTGCTCTTCATTTGCGACGAGATCCAGACGGGTATCGGCCGCACGGGTCGCATGCTCTGCTCGCAGTGGGCGAACATCAAGCCGGACATGGTGACGCTCGGCAAGGCCATCTCGGGCGGCCTCTACCCCGTCAGCTGCGTCCTGTCCAGCAAGGAGGTGATGCTCGTCGTGGAGCCCGGCACGCACGGCTCAACATATGGCGGCAACCCGCTCGGCTGCGCCGTGTCGATCCGCGCTCTCGAGATCATGGAGGAGGAGGACCTCACCGCCAAGGCCGAGAAGCTCGGCAACATCTTCAGGGACAGCATCAGGGCCTTCAACTCGCCCATCATTCAGACCGTACGCGGCAAGGGCTTGCTCAACGCAGTTGTGATTGACGAGTCTGCCGCGAACGGAAGGACGGCGTGGGATCTGTGCTTGCTGCTGAAGGCGAAGGGCGTTTTGGTATGTCACTTTACCCCCTCCCCCTCCCCCACTTTCCGGTCATGATGGCTAATACTTGAATGAATAGGCCAAGCCCACGCACGGAAACATCATTCGCTTCGCGCCGCCTCTCGTCATCTCCGAGACGGACCTTCGCAAGGCGCTTAATGTCATCGGCGAAGCGCTCAAGGAGCTTCCGACCGTTGAGAAGGCCGCCCACCACTGAGTTGACCAGGGAAAGAGCCCCCTGTGCGAGGGTGATCGATGAGGCGAGGTGATACTTTTCACATCATAAGCGACCGAGTGAGTCGTCGCCCCCCGATGGCAAACGCGGGGAAGATGGTGTCTTGTCACACGACCAGAGCGCTGTGTGTGTGTGGCCCGTCAGATCTGAGGGGACTGCGGGGGAGTGGATTTTTCGTTTGATCTGTCCTGATTTAGGCATCCAACCCTATCACGGGAAGGGAAAAAAGGCGTTGGGAGCTAGCTCTTCTCTTTCTTTGCATTCCGACGCCTGCCTCAGAGGGAACACGGTTGAAGGAACTGCAGAGTTCACGGTGCGCGCGCGCTCCGCCGGGCAGCATTTCTTGGGGAATCATGGTCATTGGAAGCGGTTGCATATGATACGGTCCGGAGCATTGAGGCCCCTTTTTTGCGGGCTGCAAAGGTAGAAAGAGTATGCATGTGCCGCTCGACCAAAGCAAAAGGTGGAATACACTTTTGAGTAGTAGATACAGAGCGAGAATCTCAGAGTGAGAGTATACACATAAAAAGAGATGATTACACCAAGGCCCTTGGGTAGCTACGATGGAGTCGCACCTGTGTACAGTCGAACGGATTCGGGAGGCTGCATGTGCATGTGTCGGCAGGTGGGAACACGTCGAGGTGCATGTCTTCCTTGTCCATTCCTACCCTCCCACCACCACCACCACCACGAAGTACATTTGTGCTATTATGTTTCCCTGGTCTTTTCCGTGCTAATTCCCATGATCGTGTAGCCTATCTGTCGCGAGCTTCTCAAAGCACACACACACTCACTCACTCACTCACACAAGCTATCCAGTTCAGGCCTGCGCGGCCGTAGAGGTTGCGGCGTGGGGTCGGGTGTGGGATGATTGTCACCCTCCCCCCTCTCTGAGGCCGTTGATTGAGGCCAAACATGTGTGTGTACTTTCATGGCATGTATCTTACTGGAATGCTGGCCGGGGTCGCTGTTGGTTGTGGGAGTCAGACGGGGAAGGGAAGGGGATTGATTGATTTGCTTGGCGTGGGTTGGTCTAGGCAAGTGGATGGAGGTTGGGGTGGTGGTGGTCTAGATGGTGGTTTGATTGATTGAGGTGCATTGTTGGTCCAGAGGCGGTCCCCGTCAGCGAGCGGCCGATGGATGAGAGGTCTGGGTCGTCGTTCGTGGAACCTCAGGGTCTGGGTTTCTGGTGCGACCTTCAGGCGGCGATGCTGCGAGTTGGAGCTGTGGTGTTGGACGATCTGGGGTAGGGCCTTGAAGATTGTGTGCTCTGTGTTAGCGGTGGTCTAGCCGTGACGGCTATGGCACGTATCATGATATCGTCGGTCATGTCAAGTGTATGTATCCCTCGTGTAACTCGTCTTGGATAAGGCACAGTAACCAATGCGATGATCACCTTCAAGCAGCGTAGTCTATGAGGCTCCTCGAGTCTTACAAACTCGACCGGCTCAATGCTTGGTTGATTGCAACGTCATGTCCGCTGGTGATCGCACATTCATGAGTAGGACCGGCGGAGGTGTATCGACGGGAGATTGCGGCTCTTGGGGACACCTTGACGGACCAGCCCGTCTCTTGTGGCCAGGTGTGCGGAGAGAGTCGGTGTAGGGGTCGAGATCTCCTACCTAGTCGACCGGCGCGCCCTTGGGCTAGGGTCTTCCCTTGCTCGATGTCGCGAGGTAAGGGACTGTCGATGCCTAGGCGATTACCTAGTCGAGTCGAGTTCGGTCGACTTGCCAAGGTACACCCGTCTGTCTGCCTACTGCCCTGGGGTAAAGTGCAAGTTGTGATGCACAGTACTTCCATCAGCCAAAAACACAAACGGCCTCTTCAATCGCCGCACAGCATCTTGACGGCCTCTTCAGGGCATGCGTGTAGGCAGAAGCAACGAGATGACGTAGACTGCGGGAGGCTGATCAGACGGGCGCTTGCAGTCTCGACCGCCGAGACGCCGTCTAAGCCAGCAGATGCCCGGAACCCCAGACGATGCTATCGCGTAAGTGGAGCTGATGACTCTATGAACCCCTGGCGAAAGGGGGGAAAAGGAAGCATGCTCGATAGAGCACTGTCGTGTGCTCGTGGCCAGCTGTGCCTGCATCGACGCCAGGTCTCCCCTTTAATCGCAGCCAACCTTGGACTGCAGACGGACGGGACGAAAGTGGCGATTCAAGGCAGCTGACCGTTCCCCAGGCTTCATCGTGGAGCCGCATCCCATCCTTGGTTCCGTGAATGCTTGGTTGCCCCGTCATCTCACCTCCGGGTTTGAAGCTGCTCCGAACAGGCAGGTGTCCCACAGTCATTGGGGTGGGCGATTGGCTACGACGATAAGCTGGGGGATTCGTCGATCGCTGCCGGCGAGGCTGTCATTTTGGCGCTAGGACCTCGGGTGATGCGGGCATCCACCTCTTCTATCTTTCCAAGGGGGTGGTGGGCAGCTCTTGGAGCACGCGGGGATGGGTCCCCGTCTTGCGTGTTTAGGGAGGATAGAGAGGGAAGATCGCCACGGGGGCGCAGGAAAATAGTCCTAGTTCTATCGAGTGACCAGTCGGAACGTTTGCTCCTGGCCTTCGCAGGAAGTCCTATTCTCACTTGAGAGTTGAGCTTGAAGTGATGAGTGATAGATTGCAACTAAGACTGAGTAGACAATGGAATTGTAAGGGCTGCAGTCCAGGACGGAGGCGAGCTGGTGATGGAACGGAGAATGGATGACGGCTCCGAGGACGCGGCACCCTGTTCGGATTGCCGTTTTGGGGCAGCGAATGGCACTTGCATGGGGGGCTGTACGCTGTAGCGGGCGAGACAAAAGTGTCTTGGAAGTGGGTTGCGCCATCGATGTCAGTTTACCAGGCACAGCAGACACGACTTCGACAAGACTCTGTCCCTCTCTCTGTGTCTCTCTGCCTTGGCCTCCTGAGGAGCTTCGCTTTCCTTCCAGGCTCTAATAAGAAACACTATGAGAAGGTATCAACATGTGGGGCGCTTGCTGATTCGAGACCACAGTCGGTGATGTCAACGGGTTTCATGGGCCCCGAAACAGGGTTTTCGACGGGTTGAGGGAATGAAGCCTGGGGCATCAACGGGTGATTGGGGGACGGAGATGAGAGTCTCGTTTGGCTTGTGGTATGGTTCTGCTGATGAGCTGGGCTTAATGGTGGTTCGTGCGAACCTGTGGATAATACCATGCGAAAGATGGGAGAAAACGAAACGGACAGATGAGCTGGATCGGTGGTTGCCTGTGTCCACACAGCAGATATGCACTGGCGCCATGATTGGGATGGCGGTGGTAGGAAAGCAACCCGCCAGCTCCACGAGTAGCACCTAGACAATGGGCGACGGGGAGGTGTGTTGGCCTGGGGCACTTGTGCGTCGTCGTCGTGGTTGATGGTGCAGCACGGTACTTTGCGGTATTGGGGTTTGGCGAGAGCTTGGAAGCACAGGCGACGTTCCTGTTGGCTCATGGGCTGTTTGAGCCATGCGTGGACGAGTAAGGCAGCTGCAGTACCAACGATCCCCGAGACCCCGATCATGGTGACATTGTATGTATGGCTGGGGTGTCGTGTCCAGGGTTAATCGTTTGGACAACTGGAACCGCGTAGTGTAGACCAGAAGGACTTATTAGGCTCTGCGTCTTATCTCGTCCCATCGAGCGGGAAGTAGACGGAACAGCCACGGTCAGCGCTAACACTTGACACGATGCGTAGACTTGAAGAAACGCAAAAAGTGGACAAAGTCGGTCCCCTGCGATATGTATGGAGCATGCTGCCCGAGGCCGCGATCCGGTTGGCTGGAGAAGTGACGGGCAGCTGGCGCCAGGCATACCGGTGACAGACGAGCAACCTCAAAATACCGTAGAAACTCAAACGGCTCGTAATCCGCTCACCCATGTCTTCAGGGGATTCATAGGCCAGAAATGGGGAGTAGTTCTGTTAGTCATCAACAGACCAATCCATCCCTTGAAGACATGGGTTGAGCGGATTACGAGCCGTTTGAGTTTCTACGGTAAGGTGACTTGACTTTCTCTGGGGATTGTTGAGAGATGCGAGCCTGAAGGAAGGCCTGAGAGCCTTGGAGCCTGAGAGGTAAGGTAGGACGAGGTGAGGCAAGCAGCAAGGCGAGCCAGGCCATGCTGCAACCTAGCTCAACCGGTCAATGAGAGTGCTGGGCTGCAGGCGATGTGAATGCGCAAAGTTCGTTACGAAGTATGGGGCGGGCTTGCGTTTGCCGTTAGTCAACATTGGACCAGATGTCGACTGGATCTGACAAGGGGTGTTGTTTGGACCAAAACCTAGGTAGCTGTAGAGAACAGAGGCACTGTATGTTGATGTTTCGAGATGACAATCAACAATGACAAGACCCGGTTGTGCTGCGCTCCGGAATCCACTGGCACAGTCGAGACTCGTGGCAGGACTTGCTTGCGCCTGGTTGATTTGTGGGCGGCCAGGCAGGTATTGCGCCATGGCTCAGCGGAATGATGGGACTCGACGGTTGAAGGTTGCGGTGGCTTGACATGAGGCAGTTGAGTTGCCGAAACAATTTCCAACCGGCCACCTCTTTTCGCGATGGCTTTAATGAATAGCGGGAGCCACCGGATACCTAGCGGATATCGTTTTCACATGAGATGGATTTGTTGGTGCAACATCCCCAGAAGCACATGTTTGCCGTGTTGGTGAAGACGGGAGTGTGAGATACGATAAGGGTAGCGCGGCGACTATCAAGGTGGACTGGGCTGCTGGAGAGCGAGACAACAGATCGATGGATGGATGCGTCCCTGAGTCCACCCGTCGATACAGTGGTGTGCGTAGCGTGCCTGGGGTGATGAGAGTACCGGCACCTTGTCTTGGCTTGGAGGTGTATTGAAACGCCGCGTACCGTGAATCCGAAAGTCGGCAGGCAGACGGGAGCCGGTAGCAGCGGACACCTTTATGCGTCAGGGCGTTCTGGCGTGCGTCTGGAAGGGAGGATGGAATGGAATGGGGGGACTGTGGACTGCTGCATCGTGCCCATTCGTCCGTTTCGTCGGTGAGAGCTGCAGAGTTACTTCTGGTACCTCCCGTCGATGAGGTGGAAGAATTCGGAGGTAAAGCAGCGGAGGCACTGTACTGCGTACACTACCGCAGTAGGTTCTCTCTCTACCTGCCTGGAAGCAAGTACCTTAGGTGGAGAGAGTTCCATCTGCAAAGGCTGTTACAGGGGAGAAGAGGGTCGCTGGAGTCATTCAGAGTGGTGCGACTGCGGCAGCCAGGTGAAGGAAGAGGTGACAGGCTCGGGGGTGAAGGCAAAGTGTGTGCATGGAGATGGAGATGGAGAAGGGAGAGAATGGGGTCCGAAGACCAGGGTATCTGTCGCGTCGACGACGTTATGATGAAATGTGCCTGCCTCACTGCCTCACACTTCAGCATCCGTACAGAAGGGACGAGCGGCCAGGCGAGAGGTGTTCCAGCCGCGAAAGTGTATCGCCGACGGTGCTACTGTGCTGTGGACATAATTACATACCTAGTACATACATAGTAGAAATGGAGGTAAGTACCTCTGTACCTCCCTAGGTGCTGCACGGGGGAAGCTACGCCTGACCCCGGGAACCCAGTGACATCCAGCGACACCCACGCGAGTGAGCGTGAAGGGTGAGGGTTGGTTTGACATTGATGAGGAAAGAGGCTTGGACGACGGCATGGCTTCGAGGCGTTGCTGTTGCTTCATACTGCGCATAGGGCTCGAGAGAGGTATTCCATGGCAACGTGAGATGAGCAGTAACAACACCTAGAGAGAACTGACTGACGCTCGGCTCGGCTCAGCTCAGCTTAACCCAGCCCAGGGACTTACCCTTTTCTCTCTTGATCGTCAAGACCGTGGATACATACATACGGTCTGGAGAGTTCCCTGAAGTTGCAGGCAGAGTGCAGACCAAGTGCCAGAAAATAGAGGTGCCAGGCCAGATGCGCTGTCGGCGCTTTCCCAAACACGGAAGTTAGGCGAGTTCGGGGAGTGGACCTGCCTGGCAATCTGGATGCAAACACCGAAACGGCTTCCGAGATCTGTCACTGGTTTGACAACAGCAAGAGGACGGTAAAAAGGTACATGCCGGGGACCCAAAAAGGAGATGGGGATATGGACAGAGAGGGTGACAGAAAGACAGAGAGAGAGAGAAGACGGCAGGATAAAGAGACACAGACAGAGACAGAGACACCAGACACCAGACACCTGGGGCGACAGGACAGGGCAACTGGGCTGGGCTGGGCAGGTTGTTGCGAGTGTCTTATCGCGATACATGAGCCTTATCGCGCCATGATGGCATTTGAGTGCTGCAGCAGCCAATACCCCTACCTCTTCTACCTCCATACCTAGGTAAGGTGCCTTGTCACTACAGTGTATGCGAATGCACCACTGCGTAAGGTGCTGCGCGACCGAGACCGGACTTGTACAGGCTAGGTATCCCTCTCCAATCACATCCCCGCTCCACTGCCAGAAAGGCACCAAAGAGACCCCTGATCAGTGACCACGAGGATACGAGCGGGGCGGCCGCGATGCACCTGCATTGGCTGTTCCAGCGTCCGGAGCGGCAACACTGAGGCACAAAGATACGTACCCTGCCTAAGGTACCCTGGGTGAGGCACCTTTCCCAAGTGTACTTCTGAGCAAGTACTTTACAAGCCGGGAAGTACATGGGCTGCTTCTCCACATCAACCGCTGCGCAGCGCATCACGAGCCCCGAACCCAAGGAACAGACGCCCAGGATAGGTCACTGTCGTCGCTTGTTGGATGTGGTCACTGGACGAGTCCCTCTCTGTCGCAATGCTTTGTATTGTTCTCGCACCTCACCTTGGCCGAATCACATCACCCTCGACGTCCTATTGCTGTTGCTGTTGCTGTTGCTGCCGGTCCCCCTTCTTTTGAACAATACACCCACCACCTGAACCCCCAAAAAGGCACACCGGCACAGCTCAGACTTGCGGCAGCTGGCCCATTTCTATCTGTAAACCCAGAATCCAGCATCTAGATCGACTCATACAGCTTGCTTCTTCGTCGTCGCCTGCTGTCCCACCCGCCGGCATCATATCGCATATCGCATATCGCATCCGCTATCCACATCCGCCCACCGCACATCCCGACTTGACTTTCTGGGACCTGTTTGTGTCTCTGTCTGTCTGTCTGTCTGTCTGTCTGTCTGTCTGTCTGTTCGTGTTCGATAGACCGCCCGACAAACACACAGAGTCCATCATATCAGCGGCACCACCATCACAGCGACAGGCGACCGCGGCGACCGCATCTCGCGCTACTGTGCCACTAAGTTAGATAGGCAGAGAGGTGCTACCCTTTATCGCATCGCATCAATCACACCCACTTCCACCTCCACGGGCCACACGCCGTGTCGTGAGGTGCACAAGGTGATCCACTCTGGACTCGCTATCTAATCGGCCTGATCCACTTCCACCTGGCTCCCCATCCCATCCATCCTCTCCATCCTCGTCACTTGTCTCTGTTCCTGCTGCTCCTGCTGCACCTGTCACTCTCCTCGGCGCGTCCCTTCTTCTACATCCTCTGCCCATCTCCTCGTCGACCTCTCCCTCTCTCTTCCTCTATCCTCGCCTTCAACTTCGATCTCGACCATTTTCTTTTCCCCCCCACCGGCCCTACCCACGAAATCCCTCGACTTCTCTGCCCTTTCTTCTCTTCTCGGCTTGCCCTCGTGCGCCTACATCACCGATTTCCCGGACCCCGTTTGTACCGCTGCCGTTTGTCCTCCCGTCTTCACTACACCACTCGCCTCTCCATCAGGGTACAAACAAAGTACAAACCACTGCGTCCTTGATAGCTCCGAGTCATTAGCTTGACCTTGGACTTTGCCTGACTCTTACTCCCAAAAGGTACACTCTTCCTCCAAACTCTCCAATACCTTGCTTTGAGAGCCTCAAACCGTTGGGTACTTCCCATGGGTCAAGCTAGCCTCCTGTTCTAACGCTCACCGTCCATTCGTATTAGTCACAACAGGACTCCTCGAGGCGTCTCCCACCTTCTCCCACCTTGCCTCCGATCGCCTCTCTCTACATAACCTCATCCTCAAAGCCACTTCGTCGGCCCATCTTTCACCGTGGTCGACTTGCATCCCGTCCTCCACCTATCGACCGTGTTGTCGAGACGATACCGCCGCCTTCCTGCACTCTCCGTACACGGACGCCACGACGGTCCCCGCTTCTACCCTTCGAGCGCTTCCTCGACTCTGCATCGACCTGGTGTGCGTGCGCTCCCGACCTATCGGATAGCTGCCGCCTTGTCTACCGTACCTGCCTACCTTACCGAAGCAACACATTCAGGGTTCTCGCCGCTGCTCGAAGCTCTGCCTACTTCTTTTGACTTGCCTTCTACACCCATTCAATCATCACAGATCTATCTCCAGCATTCTCTCTTCCACGACCCTGTATGTGTACATGACGACGCCACCCGCCGCCGACGTCTTTCGCATAGCATAGGCCCCTCGGCCTGAACACACTCCGCCCGAAGTCGCCCCTGTTCTTGACAACTTCAACAGGCGATCAAAATGGCGGAGAGACTGCCAACTTCGTCCTCGTCAGGACGCAGGCGACGCGAAGCCGATGCCTCCATTGGTGATTTCGTTATTGGAGGAGAAATCGGCAAGGGCAGCTTTGCCCAGGTATACAGTGGTTACCACAAGGTTCGTAAGCTCCATCGCCTGTTGTGATGGCCTATAATGGGGCCTGTTTCTTTTGGTGCTGGTTGTTCGATTCCCGGTGACTCATAACTCGTCGATCTCGATGAGCTGACCATCATCCCTTGACAGAGCTCCAAAGCAACTGTAGCGATCAAGTCGGTCGAAACCGGACGCCTGAACAACAAGCTCAGAGAGAACCTGTATGGCGAGATTCAGATCCTCAAGACCCTGCGCCATCCTCATATCGTCGCTCTCCACGACTGTGTGGAGTCGGCAACACACATCAACCTGGTCATGGAATACTGTGAGCTTGGCGACCTGTCGCTCTTTATCAAGAAGAGGGACAAGCTTAGCACCAATCCTGCAACCCATGACATGGCAAGAAAGTACCCCGTCACACCAAACTCCGGTCTGCACGAAGTCGTTACTCGCCACTTCTTGCAACAACTGGGCAGCGCCCTCAAGTTCCTACGAGAGCGAAACTACGTCCATCGAGACGTCAAGCCTCAGAATCTACTTCTCTTGCCATCACCCAAGTTCAGAGAAGAACACTCGCGTCCAATCTTGACTGCTAGTCAGGACTCATTGATTCCTAATGCCGGCTTGGCCTCTCTGCCAATGCTGAAGCTCGCAGACTTCGGTTTCGCTCGTGTTTTGCCATCTACTTCGCTTGCGGATACTCTTTGCGGTTCGCCACTGTACATGGCCCCTGAAATTCTCCGTTACGAGCGATACGATGCCAAGGCCGATCTTTGGTCTGTTGGTACGGTGTTGTACGAGATGATCACCGGACGTCCTCCTTTCCGTGCTAGGAACCACGTGGAGTTGCTCCGGAAGATTGAAAGCGCCGAGGATCGGGTTAAGTACCCGAAAGACCTTGTCGTCAGCAAGGAACTTGTCAAGCTCATCAGCAAACTTCTGACAAGGGCGCCTGTCGAACGGATGAGATTCGAAGACTTCTTCAATGACCCGATCGTAGTCGACCCCATTCCCGGAGTGGTCGAGGACGACATTCCAAAGCCGGAGGTCAAACCTTCCAGAGACCTTCGATCCCTCGGCAGGTCCGACTCAACATCTTCGCTGTCTCGCCGCTTATCCTTGCGCCGTCAGACCGAGAATGAAACTGTACGTGAGGAAGGTGAATCGCCAAGGTCGCCCCGTGAGAAACCCCTGAGATCTCCCAGGTTGTCAGGTCCGAGTGAAGGCCGCGCTCAGCAAGCTGCCGATGCGACAGCTCGTGTAAGCCAGTCACCAGGACAGGAAACTGGGGACGGACTTGGAATTCGACGTCCCGCTATGCCACAACCCTCCACCTCAGCACCTGCTCGTCCACACAGGCTGTCCAATGCAGCCATCAACCGACCTGCCGCCCGCGCATCTGCGTCGCCTCCGACCTCATATCTCAATGAGAGAAGACTGCGGCCGGTCACGGAGAGAAGCATGACGGAGCAAGAAAAGGCGGCTCAGGATGTTGCCTTTGAAAGAGACTACGTTGTCGTTGAGAAGAAGCACGTGGAGGTGAACGCCTTTGCAGATGAAATGGCGGCTAATCCGCGCTTGACTTCTCTCTCACCCAAGACCGGGCAGATGATTCGTCGCGCCACACAACAAGGTCCTCCGACTTCGACCACAGGCGCAGGCCGTGTGCAGCCTTCAAATGCCGTGCAGATCGCCTCGGGCAAGGGACGCCACGATCGTCGTGACTCTTACGATAGCAAGAACTTCTCGGCAAGCCCCACGACTCAAGGATTCATCGCCAAGGCGATCTCAGATGCCAGCGTTCGTCTGTTCGGCTTCAAGGTCCCACAACATGTTCTGGGCGGCAAGGGTGCCTCTCCGCCTCTCTACAGTCCATTCCCAGCGTACCCGACACCATCGGGTCCCGTTGCGCTGATTGGTGACGGCAAGCAGAGCGCACCAGTCGACGAAGATGCCCGAGCTGTGAAACTGATTCAGGATTTCGCCCATCGCAGTGACTGCGTCTATGGATTTGCCGAGGTGAAGTACAAGCAGCTTTTCCCGCTTGCCCCCTCTATGGACCACGGTCTTGGTGGCGCACCTGCCGACCAGTTGACGGGAGAGGAGGACGGGCTCACCATTGAGGCCGAAGTCCTTCTCTCGGAAGAGGCCTTGGTTCTTTATGTCAAAGCTTTGACACTGCTTGCCAGGGCCATGGACGTTGCAAGTCTTTGGTGGTCGCGAAAGACTCGCGGTGACTCCACGGGTGTTGCTGCTGCCGAGGTTTCCAAGGAGAGCCTTGCACAACGCATCAACTCTACCGTACAATGGGTCCGGGGCCGCTTTAACGAAGTCTTGGAGAAGACGGAGGTTGTCCGGCTCAAGCTCATTGCCGTCCAGCAGAAGCTCCCCGATGATCACCCAAGCCACCCCAGCAACCACGGCGGAGAGTCTGCTTCCTCGACCGCGTCCGGCACGAGGGATGTCTACCTCACACCTGGTATCAGCGCGGAGAAGCTTATGTACGACCGAGCCTTGGAGATGAGTCGTACGGCAGCCATCGATGAGATTACAAACGAGAACCTTGAAGGCTGCGTTACCTACTACGTCACTGCCATTCGTATGCTTGAGGCTGTCCTAGACAACGATGAGGACACGGTCAAGCGAAGGTACTCCGCCTCGAGCAAGGAGCTTGTTCGAGAGGAGGTATCTAGCGATCTGGACAGTGACGACCAACAGGTTGTTAATCGAAGTAAGCCTCTCTGCCCTTATTACTGCGATCCATCAGCAAGCTAATAACACGCAGTGATTCAAATGATTACTGGACGCCTGTCGACCGTCCGCAAGAAGATGGCGATGATTGCCGAGGCATCGCGATCTCAACAGGCTATGCAGCTTCCAGTGCGGAAGCGAAGTGGCGATGTTACGCCGCGCAGCGTGCCCTCATATGCTTCTTAAAGGTAAGCTGGCACCAATCGGAGCATGGCTCCCATTGACTGGAACGACTTTAAAACAACACACTCTGCCTCACGGCCACGAACTTCAACTTCTGCTTTACATAGGCCTGGAGGATTCCTGTGACACGAATCTCGGATGGCAAGAGAATTCGGACAGGAGAACGGGTCAGACTTTTCATGCATCGGCGTTGGGGAAGGCAAACCGGCATATCATCGGTTCCAACCATTTCTTTTTCATCAAGGCCTGTTTTTTTGCTTCTTATTATCTCCATTGGCGTTGGGAATCTGCAAACTGCGAGGGTTTCTTCCGCAGCCACGGAACAGTCACGGTAGTTCTTTTTTTGGCGTCCGCACGAGGGCAGGGAAGGGAAAACACAGTACCTTGAACCGGCATAGCAGCTTGGCTTTCATTGTGTTCTTCTCGTCACACCAGGATGGCCACGGAAGGATGATGGCAGGTTTACGGCCGTCCTGCTGAGAGGCGGTACGTTGGACACTAACGGATGAATGTTGCATACCCTTTGAGGTTTTGCTCGCAGACACTGGATCTGCTTTCCTTTCTAGTTGTGTCAAAAATGAGATAACATTTCAGCAACTTTCTCTTGATCCGTGACGAATCTTGTGTAAACTCATTTGTCCATCATTTGTCGCGTCTGGCAGGTGAGTGGCACTATCTACCATCATCAGTAGACTAACACCGATACATCAGTTCATTGACCAAGGTATGATTGCGCTATGCCTAGACCCCGCAAAACAGGGATCCCGGGTACGTCGGAATGCCTGCCGGCGTCGGAGGTGAGCGAAAGTGGATCTCATCACCCCAAAGCCGACCTCATGCGCCCCGGATAACGCAGACAAGTTCATGTCTTGCAGGATGTTTCACTGATACCCATTTGCAGCTCTTTAGCTTCCGTGTTGTGCCACCTGTAGACAGATCCCAGGTCGGAGAGTCAAAGGGTTTCAAAGCCTCAAGATGCCGGTTGGGCAGCGGAGGTCCAACGTTCGGCGGAGCAACGTAACGGCCTGTCATCGGTGCAAGTCTCGCAAGCAGCGGTGCGACCAGAACATCCCGGCGTGCTCCAATTGCGAGCGCGCCGGCGTGGATTGTGTGGGCACCGACATTGACGGCCGAGTGGCGCCCAGAAGGTCGGCCCTTTTTCCCTTCCGGCGCACACCTCCGGAAACACCATTCCGTTGCCATGTAACTAACTAGACCGGCACATCAGCTACATCAAGAGCTTGGAGGATCGCATCGCCCAGTTGGAGACGCAGTTGATGTCACACGGTCTCCGGGACCAGAGCCATGATACGCCAACCTCTGTAGACTTCTCGGCGGTCGTCACTCATGGCGTGTCCAACTCGCCCTCTTCGCAAGGCCACAATAGCCAGGCGGACGAGGACCTCGTCGGTCAGATTGTCCTCGACTCACTCCGGGCAGACCACTTCTCCAGTGCAATAGCGAACCACAATGGCCTCTCGCTGCTCAACTCTCTGCTTTCGGGCCCCATCACCAAAGTCTCGCGGCCCGGGCTCAGGTCAGACCACCGCACCCTCTTCGAGGATCTGCCGTACGAGACGCGAATAGATATGCCGCGGGGCGAGGCCGCCAGCCGGCTTATAGACACGTACTTTGAGCACTGCGACTTCTTCTCTCCCATCCTCCCGTCAAAGGAACACCTGGCCGCAATGATGGAGCCCCTGTACGACGCTCCCGCGAACCTACCGCCCAGTAGCAGCCGCTCGCTGTCGAAGGCGAAGTTCAGGGCGTCCATGATCTTCGCCACGGCGATCCTCCTCATCAACAGGACGGACCCGTCGGTGCCCGTGGAGAGGTCCCATGTGTACTTCGCCGCCGCGATGCACATGCTCTCCCAGGACCCGGCCGCCGTCTGCACCGGCGACCTCGGCCACCTCGTCGACCTGCTCCTCATCGTGCAGTACTGCTGCTTCAGCCCGAACCTCACCGCCGCGTGGCACTTCCTCGGCCTCGCGACCCGCCTCGCCGTCGAGCTGGGCCTCCACAACGAACGGCAGCAACGACAACACGGCGCTGCTGCCGCCGCCGCCGTCGCTCTGGACCCGGCCCTGGTCGAGGAGCGGCGCTGGGTCTTCTGGGCGACGTACACCTTCGAGCGCAACCTCTGCGTCATATTAGGTCGGCCATTCTCGATCCCGGACGAGGCCATCGAGACCCCGCTGCCCCCGGAGCCCCTCGGCAACCCGCAACGCGCGCAGGCGCTGCACCTGATCAAGGCGCGCCGCTTCGAGTCCGAGATCTACGCGACGCTGCGGCAGCGGCAGCCCGCCGGCGCGCCGCTGGACAAGCCCGCCTGGCGCGCGAGCATCACCGCCCGGCTGCGCGAGTGGTTCGCCTCTGTACCCCCGCTGGACTGCGCGAGCGGCAGCAGCCAGCTGATGCCGCAGCAGATCTTTGGCGGCTTCTTCCACAACGCGTTCGTGAACGTGTACTACCCGTCGCAGCACTTCCCGGATCTGAGCGCGGCGGACGTGCGGGCGCTGGCGCGGCATGCGGCGGAGGGCGTCGCGTGCTACAAGAACTCGTTCCGGTCGCGCGAGCTGCGGTTCTACTGGCGGTGTATCCATAGTCTGTTCAAGGCGGGCGTGGCGCTGGTGTACTGCATCCGCGTGGCGGCGACTCTCCCGCAGCAGCAGCAGCAGGGGGAGGGGGAGGAGATGAATGTGCCGAATTTGATGGATACGGTTAATGACTGCTCGTCCATCATCTGGGCCATGGTCGAGCGGTATCCGCAAGGCCAGGCGTACCGGGACGTGTTTGAAAGTTTGGTCAACTCGGTCCTGGGCAAGGACGGCGGTGACCAGATGCAGCAGCAGCAGCACCCGTCTTTGGTTCAGCAGCAGCAGGCGAGTGCCGGTGACGAGCAGGAGCATTCCATCTTTGACTCGTTGTTTGCGGCGGCTTCGGAGGATACGGATCTGCCGTTTACCGCGATCGAGGCGCTATCTTGGGGGTTTGCGCAGCCGTCTCCTGCTGGGTGAGGTTGATTGGCTTTTGCCGGCTTCTTACTCCTTGATCCGGTGGCTTGCTGCCAGTCCCAAGGTAATCAAGACATTAATGGCGCTGTAAGAAGCCGCTTTATGGGAGGCAAGTATGTTGCTGTCGGCAACATCGAAACACCAACAACCTCGAGTTTAGAGTTGAGAACAGCAGCAAGGTCGTTTACATGAGACGTCAACCAGGAGACAGGTCAGTGTTCAACGGCAGGGTTATCTTCTGTATTTGGATAATGAGGACACACTACTAGCACGTCTCGAACACTTCATCCTCGAGATCTTCTCTCTTTACATTCAACCTCTTCGGCAGAAGTCTCTTCCAGTACACCTCCTCTTCCTCCACTTCATCCTCAACCTCACAGGGCTTCGGCAACGCCCACCCCTTCAAATCCGCCTCTCCGACAACCACCCCGCACACATCCCTCCTCTTCCCGCGCCTCCCCTCCGCCAACAACTCACCAGCCAGCCTCACCGCATCCGCCTCTTCGACCACGCCCGTCTCCGCAGAAATCCAATCGCCCGCCTGCGCCCCCGAGATCTCGTCCCTGCCCCAGTCCGCACTCTCGAGCAGCCTCCGCACCAGGCACACGCCGCCGACGCGCCTGCAGCGGCCGCACGGCCCGGATGGCTTGAGCTTCTGCTCGGCGGTGAAGAACTCGCACCGGGCGCCGGCGAGGGCGCACTGCAGGCACTTGCCCGGCGTGCATTCGCGGTAGACGACAGGCGGTAGGGGTGGGCGGGAGCAGGGGGAGCAGGGGGAGAGCAGGGGGAGGCCGTTGCGGTATTGGAGTTTTGGGCGGATGGGCGGTGGTCGTCGTGGCTTGGATGTGTGCTGGGCTTCGTCGCTGTTTTCAGGTTGTGAGGGTTTCATGACGTTGGTTAGTATATTGGACAAACTTATTTTGTGATAGAGTCGCACGTCTTGAACCGGCCGCAAGGGCCGTTCCTCAAAACTCTTAAAAGGTTGCGAGGAGGATAGGATGTTGACTCTGCTGACGGAGTTGATATCAGGTTCCAGCAGCTATGTTCAAACACAGGTTGTAAGTCAGATCCTATGTGTTTTGATGACCGCCAAACAATTCCATTTTCCTTCAAGCAAACAAAGAGAGAACAGTAATAGTAAACCCTCTAGACCAATGGGCCCTTGTCCTACATCAGCCTCCATTGTTCAAAGCTGGTCGTTGACATGATCGGCTTTGACATGCTCGGTATTCTCATTTGGGCTTCCGGCCCCTGGATCGAAACTAAGAACCCAAGTTTACAAAGAAGCCGATAACATGAGTGCCAAACAACACCGCAGAAGAGGATGTGATAGCTTCAACTTGAGGAGGGCTTGATATCCCTCTAAGTTAAGCCAAAACACTCTCTGAATCATACTGTTCGGAACACGTTATTTTTACCCCCAAGAATATCACACGATATTTCACGTTGATCTAGAATGCATGCCTTTACTAGGGGATGCAGCTATTGCGCTATCATCGCGATGCCAGCCTGAGTGTGAGGATACCATGCCGTACAAGCACCAAGTACTGTCATCTTCTTACCAAAATCCTCCCAGGCATCGAATTGCGACGGCAGTAACGCGGGTCTATTTACAGCAACAATGATGATCAACTTGGCCAGATCCAAACAAAGCTGAATGCTCTACAGAGTAGCTCAGAAGCTCAGCTAATGAGGTGTTGCATTGGGGGCGAAGACATAGAGCAGCTTCAACTAGGCCCCTTGCTTCAAGACCAGGATCAATTCGGTAATCTTCCCCAACTTTCTCAAGGTCATGATGTGTAGGCTTTTTGATTTACCGTGGAGAATTTGCTTGAAAGTTGCTGCCTGCGTGCACAGGGGGTCGCAGTCAGACAACCGCAGATCGCTTGTTGGGGTCTCAAAGCTTGATCTGTTGCTGCCTTGCAGATCATCGGCTTGGTTGAGCGACCATGTTACATCGAAACTCGGGAGCGATGCAGGTAAGAATGTTCCGATTGAAGATGAATACACGCTTAAAATAATAGTTGGAAGAATTCAATATGGTCACACAATTAGTGTCATGTGATACTACTGCTGTGGTGGTTTGTTGCAACACAGGTTGGACGATATGTCCCCGGCGTCATTTGCGAAGCATCGAGCATAAGCACTAGTTTCTACCGTGAACTATGATATACGATTTGAGGTCGACCAAAGATGATATGCGTGAGTTTGGCACTGGTCTCGGAATCTCACGATCCTTGGCAGTGAGACAAGGCCCTCAAAACATGGCCCCGAAGCTTATACCTTGAGTATGCCAAGACGTGAGTAAAAGCCGCCAGGATTTAGTTACAACATCACCTCAGCCCTCTGTCAATAAGCGGGCCGGTAGATCATTGAATCCTTCAGGATGCAATTGTGACCGCGGCTTGGCAAGATCAACCATGAGGCAGTGCACTGCCTCGCGATGATCGACGATGGGCGAGATGGTCCATTTCTCACAACAACCTCGGCTGAAATGTATGCGATCATGAATCATCAGCAAAACTGAAGACTCACGACCTTGTAAAATGTTATAAAAGTGTCGACTTCTTCTTCTCTTTTCCCGTCTCGTCAATTTCACAGAACATCAAACATTTCAGAACCCGAAGCCTAAGAATCTTCTTCCACTTCATTCCATTACCACTTTACGTCATGAAGACCTTCAACCTCCTCACCACTCTCTTGGCCGGTGTCTCCGCAGTCTCCGCGGCAGCCCTGCCGAGCGCCATAGACGCCCGCGAAGTCGCCGATGGTTTCTATCAGGTTTCCACCGACGATGCCGGCAACACGAAGACCACTTTCAAGCCTTGGGATGAGGTTGTCACGACCTCTGTCAGAGAGCGGTCGCCTCTTGAGAAGCGCAGAGAGGACTGCGGTCCCGGGTCCGTCAGCACTGGCGAAGCGGACGATGCGAACACCTGCCTGATCAATGGCTTCAGTGGGGATAACGTGTACTTGGAGAAGAATGCCTGGTCATACGTAAGTTTCCCAGTTTCCGTACCCCCAATAATTTTCCCTTGGTGTCCGTCTCTTGGTGGTCTCATGACGGGGAATGGCAATAGACTAACTCAGATCGCAGTGCGTTCGCGGCAACGTCGTCTCCTTCATCTGCCCTTACAGCCAAGGATACAAGGGCAAGGCAGACATCAAAGGGACTTGGTCTTATGTCAAGGGACACTGCGGGCCGAGCAAGATGGGCTACGCGCAGGTCTCCAACGGCATCGGCGACTGGACGGCTGGGTATGCTACCAAGGATGATCACTTCTGTACTGCGGACTTCAAGGTTGGATCTTGAACATGTCGCCCCCCTTTTCCTCGTTGCATATAGAAAGATGTCTTTCCTCTTCATCTGGTTGAAGATGCCACAAGCAGGGTAAATAATTAGTCACATTGCACGCAGTCAGAATACTCGTCACAATCCACTATGATATTTACTTTTGAAAGCGTCGTTCTATAGATGCCCGTTTCTAAGTGTATGTTGCTCCGGTCCCTGTCCCAAAACGCCGAATCGTCGCCTTCATTCATCTTCATCTTCATAATCAGCATCGGCATCATCATCATCATCCCCTTCCACTTCCGTTTCCTCATCCTTAGCTCGCTGCTGCAACTGCTTTGCCCACTTCTTCCCGCCCAAGTTTTCTTTCTTGGCCATCCGGATTACTTTGGCTTGAACTGACTTATCGCTCCTACCCAATCTAGCTCCTATCTCCTCATAATCCTTTCCGGCAGCAAGCATCTCTTTGACGGTAGCAACTTCGCCTCTGCCCCACATCTTCTGCGGCCTAGCCCCCGGCAGGAAACTCATAGGACCGAGCACCTGGTCGGGTGCTGCGGCGCCCTGGGGGTTGTTGTTGATGAACTGCCGGATCGCATTCAGACGGTTGTCCTGGATCAAAACTTGTTCCGCGGTCCAGAGGCAGCCGTTGGTGCCGCTGCCGCAGTGGTAGCCCGCCCACAGCGAGGGGGCGAGGACGGGCACGCGGGCGTCGGCGCGGTGCGCGATGAAGCGCTGCAGGCCGCCCATGATGGCGTTGGAGAGGTTGTGCGTGGTGACGGAGATGATGTTGTCGCAGCCGGGGCAGCGGGCGATAGGACCGTATTCGGGGTCGTTGCCGGTTGTGAAGCGCGTGTTCGGGTTGTAGGCGCAGCCGGGCGTTGCGCAGGTGTGGCCGATGGCCAGGGCTCGGTCGTGGGGGAGGGGGAGGGATTCGCGGAAGATGAGGCCCGCATGGTTGGCTTCGTAGTTGGCGGACCTGGTGTCTTGGGTCAGGGAGAACTGGCATGCTTCGCCGGCGTCGGCGGATTGGTTTGAGATTGGCTGGCGGCAGGAGGCGCAGAAGTACTTGATGTTGAGGCACATGATTAGTTGTACGGTCTTTTTTGTGTTCTTAGTGATCGGTTTCTGGTTGGTTTGAGTTGTTGGTAAAATTGTCGCAACCACGGACTCGTGGCTATCTATATGACATGAATCTCGCGGCAGCTTGTGTTGACAATGGAGACAATTCTCTTGACACTCAATACTCAACAATAATGAACTATGAACATTCTTAGCGGTTGGCTTGATCAACGCTGTTGTGTTCTTTATGTTAAACCATTAATTCAGGGGGTTTCGACGGATTCGACAAAGACTCGGTTATGGGTATTCCGTAAAACATCAGAAAGATTTCGGGTCATTGTCTCTCAGGTGTGCCCCGGTTTTATACCTATGAAAGCAGTTTGTACAAAGATGGTCATAGATCAAAGCGCTTCTCGTCCACAACGCCATTGTTCTCATCTGAGCTGGTCTGGGTCTTGCGGTTGGCCCTCCAGTATGTGTACATCAAAGCCAAAGTGTTGGGGATCGAAGCTCCGTACAGCAAAAGAATCGCGAGAAAAGCCTTGGGATACCTCGGAGCGTCGGACTCTTGGAAAAGCTGCTGCCCGGCGAGGCCTCCGAGATTGCTCCCCATCACCGCCATCGCCAGTCCAACGCTGCGATTGCTGGGCTTGGTCGAGTTGATGTTCAGCCAGGCATCGTTGATCGCCTGCGAAAGGGCGTTGCCCCCAGTGAGCAGCGTGAAGAGCGCATACTGTACCCACCTGTTCGCCCCGACAGGCAGCCCGCACAGCGCGCCGGAGAAGGCAATGGACCAGACAAAAGCCACGATGCACCAAGGCCCGCGCAGCCGTGTCTTGTCTGACGCGACGGACAGCGTGTAGGACAGAATGATGACGAGCACGTTGCCGACGGCGTTGAGCAGGTTGGCGTTCGTCTTGGAGAAGCCGAGGCTCTTGATGATCGTGGGTCCGTAGATGGCGAGGCCGCCCTTGGGGGTGAGACTGAGGATGTTGAGGAACATGTGCAGCCAGAGGCGCAGGTCGACGAAGGCTTCGCGGAGACTCTTCAGGGTGATTTCGGCCTTGTCCGCGCCCTTGGATTCGTCGCCGAGAATGATGCGGGTGCTAAGGATGGTGCGCTCGCGGTCGGTGAAAAGGTCGAAGCGGCCATGGATCGGGCGCGTGTGCTTTGGGCTGCGGGGGAGGAGGAGGACGTAGCCGAAGAAGATGAGGAGGGTGAATGTGCCCTCGACTGGCGCCGTTGTCAGATCTGGATGTGATAACGAGGATGGCTTTAAGGGGTTCAACTTACTGACAAAGAGCCACTGCCATCCGGCGAGCCCTCCCTTGCCGCCCATTTGCAGGATTCCTGCGGCGATCAATGAACCAGTCGCGGCGGCTGAATAATTACCGAAGTAAAATATTGATGTTCTCAGTGCCAGCTCGTCTCTCTTGTAGAACAAAGCCAGCATGTACTGAACTCCGGGGATGAATCCTCCCTCAAACAGCCCCAAGAGCATTCTCGTTGCGTAGAATGAGTGGACGTTGGTGCACCAAGCTTGCATTAGAGCGATCGTGCCCCAGATGGCGACCTGCAGTGTGAGCCAGACCGGAGCGCCGACTCTCTGCAGAACCAGGTTGGAGGGGATTTCTGCAATCACGATACCGGCCAACATCAGCTGATTACCAATGTTGACTTGGTTGTTGGTGATGCCGAGGTCTTGCGTCAGGGTGTCGGTGAGGGCGTTGCTGATGTTGGTTCGGTCGAGCTGGAGGACGTAGAAGCCGACGACGAGGAGAGGCATGAGATACCAGTCGAGTCTTTGGTTGAGCTGCTGTCAGTGGTTTGGCCTCGCTGGGAAACAAGTGCTAAAGACTGACTTTCTGACCACGGCCTTTTCTTCATCATGAGTCCACGACTCGCCCTCGGATGGGCTGTGGTTGGACGCGTCGGTCTTCTTCTCTTCCTCCATGGTGACGGCAGACCAATCAATGGAAACCAGAATGCCAAAGCGAGATGCTTGAGAGAATTCCAAATTAATGACCCGCGCTGGGTGATGTCGAAGATATACCCAGGCCAGCTCTTGGCTGCACGCGATCAACGGAAACCATGTCCCTCGCCGCTGTTCCACGGCCCCAGCATGGGCATGGTCCAATCCGAATCAGCGATTGCGCAATTGGCTTTCGTGGAAATGATCATGGAGTTGAGCGACGGAGATATGATTGTATTGATCCACATTAGTGAGAGGAGGGGAAGTCGTCGGAATTGAGCGTCGGAGGTCAGCGAAGCTGATCGGTTGTGGCATCGACTTCCTCATGTTGAACGCCAAACGATGTATTCACTTGCCGTCTTTGGATAACGTTAGAAGAACTTAAAGAAGGAATGATCAAAGCATGTAATCAAAAAAAAAAAAAAAAAGGAAGACTTCACTGTGTTTTCACGATTCCAGCGTCGTTAAAGTTCAGGATCAGAATGCCAAGGCCGAACTTACACGACTGAAATTCAATCCGCCGATCTACCTTTTTATCGAAGGTACATTGAACATGCATCTATAAAATAATAAAAATGCTAATAAGCACAAAAAGAACATCAAGTAGTTCCATCAAGACTGAGAAAAAAGACCCTTATCACTAGGTAGAGATTAGCCAGCAAGACCAATCGCCCGACCTGCAGGGGCCTGGCGGAGCTGCCGATCTCGGCCCCGGTCCAGGGTCTACCAGACTCTCGGGTCAGAGACTGGGTGAACAAACACGTGGGATTTTTTGTCCAACACACTTCCACTTGTGAATTTCATCGAAAAAAGAGGGCGTTGGTGCGAACGATAGAATATCTTAGCGTCTTGAGGTGACGTTAAAGTTGAGTTGCCGACGGAGCGGAGCTATGTCGCCGCCAGTTCGTCGATGACTTCATCAGTGGGGCCGAGATCGCGTGGGGGAGCTCTCAGCCCGCCGCACCGTCTGGGCTGTCATCTCAACCACCTTCCAATTTTAGAACCTAGACTCAGTCACATCCATCGAAGGCTGTTCTAGAACTTCTGTTAACATACCTAAATAGGTCCCGCAAATTGGGTACATTATCAGACCAACAGCCACCCCATCAATCAGCAATCTCAACCCCGAGGACACCCCGCAGTCATCCATCCCTGGTTACACAAGCCAGTGACACAACATCAAAGGTCACATCATCAACGGCCCCCTACCGCCAAGATGCCGCCTCCGCCAGATCTATCCCACCACATCCTCCCCGAGCCCGTCTCCAGAGAAATCTTCCAGACACAGATCCTCCCCGCCGACCTGCCCGCCACACTAACCCCGCACCCCACCCGAGCCCGGCCCTTGGCGGTGCTCATCGTCGGCCAAACCGGCGCTGGCAAAACCCGCACCGCCCCGGCCGTCCTCTCCGCCATGAACCGCATCAACCCCCCGGCGCACTTCATCGCAGACGTCTACAAGGCCCACCACCCTTCCTACCTGACTCTCATCTCCTCTCCGAACCCCGCGCACGCATCGCCGGCCACCGGCCCAGACGCGCGCAAATGGCTCGCCATGGCCGCGGCGGAGGCCATCTCCCGCAAGCTGGACGTGCTCCTGGAGAGCGCGTGTCGGCACCCAGACGACTTTCGCGACCTGGCGAGGATGTTTGGGGAGGCGGGGTACCGCGTCGAGGTCGTCGTGATGGCTGTCCCCGCGGCGCTGAGTCGGTTGGGGATCCTGCACCGGTTCTATGAGAGACTGCCGGAGGCCGGGAGCGGCAATCTGCCCATCAGGCTCACGCCGGTCAAGATTCATGATGATTCATATGCTGGACTGATGAGTGTTGCGGAGTGGATTGATGAGGTGGACTACATTGACAGGGTGCTCGTTGTGAGACGTGGAAACCTGGTTGTTTGCTCTGATGACAACAATGAGACAGGTAAGCTTAGTGGCAAGGTTGCGGAAGCGTTAAGGAGGGAAAGGGAAAGACCGCTCACCGCGGAGGAGAGAAAGGTTGCTGTAGCGGACCTGGAGAAGTTAGAAGCCCGAGATGGCAAGTTGGCAGTGGAAGTCAAAGGTCTGTTTGAACCGTTACTCAGGTCAGAAGAGCAGGGATATCCAGAGCTGCTACCGTTAGAGTTTCCACCCAGTACAAGGAAGGATGCTCTGCTTACGCTGGGTGAGGTATGAGGACATATACGAGCATAGTTATGCAGCCATTCGAGTTGGCAGATATCAAGGCATTGCCCCAGCTCTCAAGATATGGACCGAATGCAGACAGGCTTAGACGAGCGATTGTCCTGATTTTGCTACTATAGTATGGATGCCTCATTTGCTATATAATTTGCTATATAATTAAACAAGACTGCCTGCCACATGGCACTTCAGAAAGCTGCAAGCAATTTTCCTTTGAATGAACGGGAGTGATATGTCATATATGCCCGTCCTCGCTGAGTAGTCTGTCAAAGCAGCAGGGAACTGCTGTCGATTGCCATTTGCGCCCGGCGACGTTAACTCTATAGGTGACATTCGAAATCCTGCATTCAATACACAAGGGTTGCCATTGAGGCGTGCCGTCCGTCGCAACATGCAATTGGTGAAGTTGATGTTGTCCTGCCTGGCCCCCATCGGCTTGTGTCGGCAGGTATCCACCAGGCCCGGAAGGCACCACCCACACCGTCGCCGGTTGCCCACCCGGAAGGTAGTGGCTTCCGTGGAAGGTACCTGACTGCCCTGGTGTACCGGCAGGTTCGACATTGGTCCAAGCTCCACGCAGCGGGCAGGCCCTGACGTGGAGGGGCACGAATTGGAAGTGGAGCTGGGTGAGGTCACACCAACCTTCCAGAAGCCCCCGCGTAAATCGGCACACGTGACGCGGAAGGGTTGCCTGCCCTACAGAGCTCGACCACTAAAACTTCCCCGACAGGCCTGGTCCTCCAGACGAACATCATCACCAACACCTCTCATCTCAAAGGACAAGTAAGTACAGCGCCCCCCACCCCACGGTCATCGGCACGACGGCGGCGCAGAGCTCGCGAAGCTGCCTGCGCTCCTGTCGGCTGCCCGATTGGCCCGGTCGCATTTCGCTGGCGACATCGACTAACCGGTCACCAGCTTCGTGGTCACGATGAGAGCCAAGTGGAGAAAGAAGCGCGTTCGCCGTCTCAAGCGCAAGAGAAGAAAGATGAGGGCTCGCTCGTAAGTTGCACAACACATCGCGGGCGCGAAACTGCCTGGCTGACAACTCTTTCAGCAAATAAACAACTCGCACCCTCCCCTCGACCATGACCATCTTCTGAGATGACGACACCAAACACCATCACGCGATACGCATAACGGAATTGCACTCGCCAGCTTCTGTCACCAGCGACTCAGTCTGTCTCGTTTACCGGGACGTCTATATTCACACTGCGAATTGGAACTATGGGACTTGGGGTCATGACGATGATCAGGCACGCAGTTCCGGCGGCCTTGATGAGGATTTGATGAAGAATGGACCTGCCAACTGCGGTCGGGATGACTTTACGATGAGGATGCAGTGTTTAGGACAGCTGAAACTACGACGTCACAATGACTTCGAACGCAATCAAATCATCAGTGAAACCACAATATGCTTCCTGCCTGCCATGTGTCCTGCCTCCCTCCGTGATACTGTTCGAGCTCTTCGTGGGCTCTTTGAAATCAGACATGGTGATGAGAATCATTTCACCAGTTGGCGCCAGTTCACAGACCTTCAGCTCCAGCTTTGCGATTGCGAGCCGCCATGGCAGACTCTATACCATGCGCGCGACTCATTGAGCGCCGCATCTAGTACACAATAACTGTATCAATTCATGTAGCCCGATGCCATTGATGAAGATGATGCGCAACAGCAATATTCGGCTTCAATTTCTTCTCGCGTGAGCTGCATTTTTCGTCAATTGAGTGCGCAGAGCTGTGACGTTCGCGCAGCTCCAAGTGGGGTCGGTGCATGCGCCGGTAGCGTCCAGCTTGTTCCACACCGCCTGCCTGTCAAGGTGGTCGCACGGATAAACGCCGGTTTGCCGACAAGGGACTTTTTTTTTTTTTTGAGGCGTCCAGAAAATTTCCAGCAGACTCGCAAGCCAACTACTAGACGTCCAACTACCACCGGTCCGCACCCGCCAGTACCCAGAGACAGCAGAGACGATGGCGGACGCCAACGGAAGAAAGAGAAAGAGAGACGGCGACGCCGCCGCCAAGTCGAAGAAGAAGCAGGCTACCGACATGCCGTCAAAATTTACCATCTCTTCGATTTCACAGGCCAAGCTCTGCCCACCTGTCGTTGGTACGTACGATCGTCTCCCTGCGATTATTCACCATTCGCTGACAGTTTGCAGCCTCTTCCCCCGGCATTAGGATATCAAAGAACACTCCTTTTACCCCATACGTCAAGTCAGACATTCAATTGTCAGGCAGGCGCAAACAGAAGACCCCCGCAGTGGCGCAGGACCTCGTTCTGCACTCGAATACTCACCAGACGATGGACTACACGGCCAGAGAAGACGGCAACGGCGACTCCGAAAAGTCGTTGAAGCACTACATTGGAGTGTTTGACCCGAAGACGGGCAAGCTGGAAGTGGTGGAAGCCAAGAAGATGGTGGTTCGGGGTACAGCTAGAGCCAAGCAGGCCTCGGATGAGGCGATGACTGCGCCAGCAGACTACCAGGTTCGTCTCTATCGTCCACGTATGCTGTGCATACTGTGTATACTGTTACTGACTACAATCAGAGCTTCTACGCGCTCAAGACCGATCTTGGTCAGACCTTCGGTACGAGGAAAGCCAAGAAGGCCATCGAGTCTGTCACACTCAACGCCATCGATCCCAACAAGGGCAAGGCTGGCGCTTCGCCCCGCAAGTCTACCGCCGCGGACAAGGCAACGCTCAAGCAGATCGGCGAGATCACCGCGACTATGGCGTCCAAGGAAGAGCTCCAAGACATCGTCGACCAGGCCAAGCCCGTCCCCCGTCCCAACCTCGAGGCCGACGCCATCCAGGACGTGTACGATCCCGACGAGTTCATCGGGCGCGAGGTCCTCGCCGCTGTCCCCGTCAAGGACTGGATCGAGCCCACCAAGAAGGGCGAGGACGTGCAGGTCTACTCTAGGCACGTGGCTGCGCGCGTCAAGAAGATTGTCGACACTGGAAACGTTACCAAGATCCGCCTTCTGCGCTACTTCTACTTCTTGTTCCTGTTCTATACGATGGCACAACCAGGAAAGCAACGCGGCACGAAGCGTGTCCCTCCTCGCGAAAAGCTCAAGGAGAAGCTCGCCCCGGCGCCCCAGGCTGTTATCGAGCAGATTCGTCGCAAGTTCTCAGACGGCGGCGAGATCCGCAAGTTCCACAGCGATTTGCTTATCGCGCACTGCTGCGCTTTGGCTTGTATCATCGATAACTTCGAGGTCGATACTTCTAAGCTGCGGGAGGATATGCGTCTCGATCAGAAGGATATGAATACCTACTTCTACGAGATTGGTGCCCGCGTAAAGCCTGTTGCCAGCAAGGAAAAGGGCAGCAAGCAGCAACACCACATTGCTAAATTGGCCCTGCCACTACAATTCCCCAAGCTCAGATCTCTCGCATCCAAGCGCCGCTAGGAGGGCGTCGCGGGCGATGAAAAAGAGGTTCAGAGGGCGCGCAGGGAGACAATTCCTTTGCGCCAGGCCTAAGCAGTGGCGAGAACAACTCACGAAGGCGACGGCGGCGGCGGCGGCGGCAGCGGCAGAAATAGCGGGGACGGACGACAGTAGCCGGGAGAAGCAGAACCTACGAAGACGGACGACGGAAACAGACGACGGGAGCAAACCATAGGGATGAAAAGTGACGAGGCCGGCGGCTGTGGCACCGGCACCGGCACCAAAAGTAGTCAGGAAGGACGGGGACGAGAAGCGACGGGGCCGAGAGACGACGGGGAAGGAAAGTGACAAGGGCCGGCGACAAAGGCACCGGAGCCGGACGACAGCGAGGACCAGAAGATCTGCCGGACTACCGACAACTTGCATACTCTATCTACATGGCTACCATGGCTTACCTATAGAAAGTGCACAACCCAAGTGCACACGCCAATTGATGACCAAAAGTTTCGTTTCATGAATCAGTCGTATATGAATCAGATGGCCCGGGGCAGCAATCACGTCGTTGGCCCGTGAAATATGAATCATTAGTACCGAGCCAGCAGCAATTGGGAGAAACGTTTCCCGATGTGCGCTGCCAGTACTGACGCTAACACCCCGCAGTGGCACCCCCGTCCTGCCGAGGCATCTCGGTGCAGTCGTGGTCCAGTGTGTGTGTGGGGTCCGGGGTAACTCTCCCCTGGCACAGCTCCTGTGTCTCTCATAAAACTAACCAACCACCTGCGGGTGAGCCGCTGTATCTATGTTTGTAGCCTATCTATTTCATGCGGTGAGCTTTCGGGTATTCCTGTAGCTCCCATTTATTTCATTCCAATATTACGATCAGAAGTGAAGTAAAGAAGAACCGAATTCGAAGACAACAGATTGTAGAAGAAAGACCACATAGACACCGGCAGATCAGAACACACAATGGCTAGTCCCGAGGATCCCGTCGTCTCGCTCGAGTACCGCGGCCGCGTCGCGCTGCTCACAATCGACAACGACCGCAAGCTCAATGCGATGTCGCAGCCACAGTACTACGACCTCGCCCAGAAGCTGCGCGAGATCGCCACACATGACGAGGTCTTCATCACCGTCCTGACGGCCAAGGGACGTTACTTTTCAGCGTGAGTTTTGTTCTCCGTTTTCAATTCAATTCAATTCATCTTATCCCAATCACTCGATTTACATCAAAAAGCTCCAAATAAGCAAGAAATGTAAACTAACATCAAAAAGCGGCGCCGACGTCTCCATCGCCCGCGAATCCCCTTCCGGCGCCGCCGCCCACAAGCACTGGCTCCAGGGCTTCGTCGCCTTCAACCTGAACATCACGCAGGCCTTCTACACGCACCCCAAGATCCTCGTCGTCGGCCTCAACGGGCCCGTCATCGGGCTCTCCGCCGCGCTCGTCTCCTTCGCCGACTTCATCTACGCCACGCCGTCCACCTTCCTGCTGACGCCCTTCTCGTCGCTCGGCCTCGTCGCCGAGGGCGGCGCCTCGCGCGCGCTCGTCACGCGGCTTGGCCTGCCCAAGGCCAACGAGGCGCTCATCATGAGCAAGCGCATCTCCGCCGAGGAGCTGCTGCACACGGGCTACGTCAACAAGGTCTTCGACTGCGGCAAGGGCGAGGACGCCAAGTTCCGCGACCTGGTGCTGCAGGAGGTCGATGAGAGGCTGGGCGCACACCTGATCGGGGACAGCCTGACGGGGATCAAGGCGCTCATCAGGCGGCCCGAGATGGAGATTATGGACCGGCAGAACTCGCAGGAGGTGTTTGCGGGTATTGAGAGGTTTATGAAGGGGATCCCGCAGGAGGAGTTTAGGAAGATTGCCAGTGGTGAGAAGAGGCACAAGTTGTAGATGAGTTAGAAGATTCTGCTTTGCTGTAGATATGTTACGTCGCAACAAAGGAAAGCTGTATTCTAGATCATGACTTTTTTTTCTCTATTTCATTCTCTCACTCTAGTGTGTGTATCTCATCGTACATGTGACCGGGTATCTTTACATCATGCGAGCAAGCCGAATAGCAGGTTCGTCTTCTTGTAGTAGTCTTGTGAAGACTTGTTGATGCGCTGTCGAGCTTCGCTGCTGTCCAGGCCTGTCTGCTGGTAGACCTTCTCCTCCACAGCCTCAAGCTCACTCTCCTTGCCCATCTTGGAAGCGTCGAGGAAACAGCGTAGATATGAGACGTCATAAAGCCACTGGGTGAAGAGATCCCGACGCTGCTGGGCGAGTTCGTCTGCTTTTGGCGACGGCGCAAGTTCGGCATCCTCCGTGGAAGCTCCCTCTTTCTTTTCTTCATCTTTTTTGTCTTCCGAAGATTCCTCTTCCTTACTCTCCTCGTTCTTAGTCCCCTCGGGAGTGTCTTCATTTTCTTGCTCCTTTGCCGGGTCTTCGGGCGCAGGCTCAGTCTTGTCGCCGTTGGTTTCGACATTCGCATCCTTCAAGTCGTTCGTCGCGATAGCCTCAAGCCACTTCTCGCAAAGCTGCTTGCTGAGATGCTGCTTCATTACACGAACGGCCACCGCACTCCAGAGATCCATACCCGCATCACTCATCTCCTTTGAAACATCCTTGAAGAACCGGAATAACGTAGGCGACGGCTGCGTCGGCAGCTCGGGGCTTCCCTCCCATAATGGCCGGCTTACCACGGTCGTTTGTGAAAGTCCTTGGTTGACGAAGGTTTCTATCGGCTTGGCGGCCACGGTGACTGACAGCTTCTCGTGAAGAGACGGCACCACAGTCAACCCGAAGCCCTTGACCGCGTCGAGTTTGGGCAGGCCTTGGCGCACGTCGCGGAGGATGCGGAGGAGGTACATGGCCACTCTGCCGCTGTTCGACGCACCCTCCTTTGTTTTCCACAGGCTCGTGAGCTTTTCGTCGAGTTCCTTGAACGCTTTGGCGAGTGTGGATTCGAGCTTTTCATGCAGCGTCCGCGGGTCGTCTTTGCTGAGAAGCTGCTGCCGCGCTTCGATCGTCTCCTCGTCCTCAATTTCATCAATGTCGTTGTCCCAGCGCTGCCTTCGAAGCTGCTCCACCACTTCGCCGACTTCATCGATGATACGCCGCCAAGATTGGAAGCCATTGACGGCCTTGGAAACCGAGTCATTGCGGCCATACATTCTTGCGACTAATTCTTGCAAGATGTGATCCGCTCCGTTGATCAAGTCGATATCAAAGCTCCGCACATTCCAGAGGTCCACGGTCTGATCCGTCACACCGTCCTGCCATGAGTCCAAAGTGGCCGCAACCTCAGACCCAATGATATGCAGCTTGTTGACCTTGACCTCGAGGACGTGCAGCATGTGCCCGTTGATGGCACCGCGTAATTCGTCTAGCATCTCGGAAGGATCAAAACCTCTCGCTTTGCCACCTTCGCGGATCCATAGCTGCAGCACGCTAGTACGCAGCTCCGTGATGGCCTTGAATTCCATCATCCGCTCCATCGTCTTCTTGAGCCCTTCGACAAGCACCTCACTGCCTTTCTTCGCCCAGCTAAAGAGCATATCGCGTGCCTGTGGGCCATCCAGGTCGTCGTAGCGGATGAAGGGCGTGAAGAACTGAATCTCCTCTCCGCACCATCGCTCATAGACGTCCAGGCGCAGACCCTCAAGCCTTTTGAGTGATGGGTCCGCCAGCAGAGGACTTTTCTTGAGATCGGACAAGGCGTTTGACAGCTTGAAAGGTACTAGAGCCTGGACATCGAGCAGGGCTTTGGTGTAGAGATTCAAACTCTTGAGAACGTCGCCTGCGCCTCGCTGGCGCTCATTGTCCTCAACCTCGAAGGACATGGCCATGGCAGCTCCTCTGACCCGGAGGAAGTGATCGACCACATCACGGGCTCCGGAGCTGGTAGCCAGACTGTACGCACACAACGCTTTCAAGACGTCCTCCTGCTTCGCAGACTCTCCAGTCTTCTCCATCAAGCCATCAATATTCCGCAGGAGCCGTTTCCTCAGCACGACCAGACTCTTTTTCGTAGCCTCAACGACGTGACTGACGTCGCCTTCCAAAGCCTTCTCCTCTCCCAAGCTTTTCACCAAAAGTCGGCTCAGCACCAGAACCTTGCTCGCCAATACGACCCTGTCCCCTCTGCTCAGCTCCAGGCTCCCGGCCCCAGACCCCTTGAGCACGCGTCCCACGACGAGCCCGCAAGCCTCGAGGAGTTTTGCCCTCGCAACGACGCCCACGTCCCCGCCGTACAGCTCCTTTATGCTCCCTTCGAAATTGCTCAGCCCAGCGACCTTTGATCCGACGACGCCGCGCCCGCAGCGCCCGCCCATGCGGCCCAGCACGCCCTGCACGGCGTCGTTGTCCTTCCGCATCTGGACAATCGTGTCGGCTGTCCCGAGGAGGTCGCGGTAGGAGCTACCGACCTGCGTGCGCAGGCGGCTCGCTTTTTCGTCTATTTCGACATGGAGGGATTTGTGTATCGCGCGGATTTGGGGGAGGGTGTAGTTGGAGGAGAAGATCTGGGCGGAGGACGTGAGTGTCGAGAGGTCTGGAGTCGCCATGTTGGGCGTGGTAATTGGCAATTATCGACTTCAAAGTGGCTTTCGTCAATTCGCTTCGCATGCGATTTAGCTTCCGGAGCCGTAGACTCCTTTGCGCAGGCGTCGCGCTTGCCTCGTGGTTGGTTTGTCTCACGAAGAGTTGCTGATGTTGGAAAGTTGAAGCTCTTCTGGCCAGATGGAAATTGGTGGGGCCAGCTGTCTTGGAGCTCGGGGGTACTTCGTATGCTGTCACGGCTGTGCACATCCCACTTACGGCAATCTCACTCGACCCCGGATGAATCAAACACACACTTGCTGCGATTAACACATGAAAACTTGTGATTATGCCTCCCAAGTCTTGGAAACTTCGTGTTAACTCCAATTCTATTTTCCGACCCAAAAAGCCTACAATTTCCTTGCCCTGACAATGCCCGTTGTGATACCGGACATTTCTCCGCCATAACCGCCCTTGGGCTCGCCTCCCTTCCATTGGGCCTTCATGCTCCTCAGCTTCTTCTGCTTCTCTGCGTACTGCATCTTCTTTTTCACACGCGGGTTGCGGTTCTCCTTCTTGCGCTTTGGCGTGAGACCCTTGTTCTTCTCGATGGCGTACGTGATCTTGCGCTTGCCGTCCGCCCCAACGACCTCCTGCTCGACAACGCGGTCCGCCTTGCCAGCCGCCTTGAGAGCGTCGTAGTATGCCTTGTTCTCCTCCTTCTTCTTCTTGGACTTGGCCGCGACCATGTCGTAGTACTCATCGTCACCATCACCACGCAGCGCGGCAGCGGTCCTGGCGTCGTCCTCGTCGCCGCTTCCCTCGTCTCCGAGGTCCGCGCCGTACTTGGAGCCCTTTTGTCCACGGCGCTCGGCCTCGGCATTGAGACGGGCCTGGCGGTCGCGGAGACGCTCGCGGTAGGGCAGATCGTGATCTCCACCGGCGTCGCGGCCGGCGTCGGTGCGCCTGTTGGCCTTTTGCACAATCTGGGAGGTGTAGAAGCGCAGGGACTTCTTGCGAGCGGCCTTGTCGGCAGCGGTGCGGGCGTCGAGGATTTCTTCCTCGCCAAAGTCCGAGTTGTCGTCCTCGTCGGCGGTCGTCTTGGCAGCCTTCTTCGCCTTCTTGGTCTTCTTGGACGGCTTGAGGAGGTCGTCGAGGTCTTTGAGAGAGTCTTCGACAGCCTGTGCTTGCTTCTTCTTGGCCTTGGAGGCCTTCTCGAGCTTTCTGAGCCTGCGAGCTTCCTCTCTTGCGGCGGCAATCGCAGCGTCGTCTTCGTCCTCCTCGGGAATGACTGCTTCCTCTTCCGAGACGTCCATCGAGTCGACCGGGGCGGCTGGCCTGACGGTCTTTACTTGTTGCCAGGCCTCGCGGCACTCGAGAAGTGTTTCCATGACCTCGTGGTCACGGAGCTCCGCAGGATCCAGAGTCTTTTGTGTTGATGAACCGTCGCGGGATGGTGATGTGAGAATGGCGAAGTAGCTTGCGAGAGCGGCGACGTAGCACCCCAGAATCCAGTATTTGACAGCCTCGAGCGATTGGCTGGACTTGCCATGTGCCTCCTTCTGAAGGGTGACAAGCTGCGGTTGCAGGTCCTGGAACTCGTTCACCAAGTGCTCAAATTCGGGGTATTTGCTTTGGAGCATCTTCCTGCGCTCTTCGGGGCCCATGTCGTCTGTGATCTCGATGTCCTTAAGAACCTCGGTGACAACCTCCTGGTCCTCGGCTTCGTCAGGCTTGGAAGCCAGCCACTCTCCTTCGTCGAACAAGAAGTCCTCCTCGGACATCTTGGCCAGCTTCTTCTGCTGCAGGCGCTTGGCCTCAGCCTCTTCCTCGAGGGCGTCGGCCTCCGTCTCGATCTGGTCGGCATTGTAGTACTCCTTCTTCGAGGATCCCCACCAGCTTGGGTCGGCCTCGTCTCCTTCACCCTCTTCCTCTTCATCGGACTCAGCAACAGCCTGCCCCTTCTTCGCGGCCTTTTTGGCCTTCTTCAGCTCCGCCTTCCTTTCCTCTTCCTCGGAGTCGTCGCCGTCGTCAAAGTCCAAGACCTCCTCGTCCGAGTGCTCCAAGAACTTATCCTCCTCTTCGTCCCTCTTTCTCCTTTTCGACTTGGGCTGCTCGTCGAACATGATCTTGTCGCGGTTCATGAAGTACTCGTCCTCGGAATCGGCAACATCTTCGTAGGTGGTGATGGGACCAAGGCGAGCGTCGGCGGGGTCGAGCTCCTTGGGGCCGGTGCGCGCGGGCGCAGAGGCCTTTCTCTTCTTGGCCATTTTGTGTTTACCGGCTGGGTGTCTAGAGAGTCTAGAATCGGTTCGAGTGTGACGGGCGGCCGGATTGCTGGTGGGAATCAGACGTCGAGACGGACACCAGATGGGGCGAGTTCAAGATGCAGCTGCCGATTGCAAAAAATGTTCTTGGTTCACTGCACCGAGCGCAGAACTTTTTAGTGGAGACAGTTATTGGCGTCGTCGCTCATTGGTTGAATGGCCCAGCTAATAGTGGGGCTAACCCAGCCAATGCGACTCGGCTTCATTGAAGATGAAGATGCCTTCTTCGCATGGCTCTGTAAGTGTAGATATTTGCGAATACAATTGAGACGACGGAGGTCACTCTTGATTAGATTTTAGGTGTTTGAGTTATCTTACCTCCATGGAATTGATACAGAGTCTTCTGTTGAGTTTAAGGCAAGCTATGCAACATCCACCAAGAACGCACGAGTTAAACGAAAGTTCATCGGAAAACACTTGGGCGGGCTTCTTCTACTAGATTTCTTTAGCTAAGATTTGGCCAAGCTTCCTACATCGGCAATGCAGTTAAGGTCTATTTAACGTCTCGAGGCATCCAAACTTGAGTCCATCTACCGGCTAACCGCCATCGATTTTCTCCAAGATGGATCCATCTTACCTGGAGAAGTACATCGTACCCTTGGTCCAGGGGAGAGGCGCACTAAGACGGCCTGAAGCGCATCAAGGACCCCACTAACACGGACCACGGCGGGAGCTGCATTGTGAACCCCTCGAATGAGGTGAGCTTAACCCCGTCTACCACTCAACGGCTTTCTCCTGACCGACGCGTGCGCCCGACTACCTATCGCACGACAGTGCCCCCGAATAAGCCGAGGACATCTGCTATAAGCATTGACGCCCCCTTGCATCCTGCCTAGCGGCAAGCTGTCCTCTTCGCTCCTGATCACGCTCGATCGGTATGGAAAACGTATCACAAGCTGTGTGGGTAGCTCTGGGAGGTCTCGCAGCTGTCCTCTTCGCCTCCGCCATGGGTCTATTTAACTGGAAGAACCACATGCCCGTTGAGGGCAAGGTGAGTCTGCGTCTCCAAGCATCGCAAATGTCGTCTCCTAACGTGCAATCCCCCCTAAGACCATCCTCCTGACTGGCGCGTCAGAGGGAATGGGCCGCAGCGTCGCCCTCCAACTCGCCGCAAAGGGCGCGAACCTCGCCCTCGTCGCTCGCAACGCCGCCCGTCTCGAAGAGCTCGTCACCGAGTGCAAAGCCGCCGCCAAGAACCCCTCCACCCAGCGCTTCACCTTCTTCACCGCCGACATTACCCTCGAGAACTACGCCGCGCCCCTGCTCGCCGACGTCAAGGCCTGGAACGACGGCCGCAGCCCTGATATTGTTTGGTGCATCGCCGGCATGGCCAGCACGGGCTTCTGGATCGAGACCCCCTTCGCGCAGACCCGCCGCAACATGGATGTCAACTTTTACGGCACGGCGGAGATGGCGCATGCTATTCTAAGGGAGTGGCTGGCGGTCGATGCGCCGGTCGAGAAGGAGCCGAAGCATCTGATCATGACTACGAGTGTGGTGGCCTTCTTCACCGTTGCGGGATACGGGCCGTATGCTCCGTCCAAGTGGGCCATTCGTGGCCTGGCCGACACGCTTTCGCAGGAGCTGCTGCTGTACCCGCAGAACGTCAAGATTCACGTCGTGTTCCCTGGAACCATCACCAGCCCTGGTCTGGAGAAGGAGAACTTGACCAAGCCCCAGATCACGCACCAATTGGAGGAGCTTGACCCCGTACAGTCGCCTGAAGAGGTGGCTAGGTTGTCTATCAAGGGTTTGGAGAGAGGAGACTACTTCGTCACGGTGGCCTTCTTGGGCAGCCTCATGAAGTGGAGTGGTCTTGGAGGCTCTATCCGTAACAACTGGGTGGTCGACACCTTCATGATTTGGATTACCTCGTGGGTCTGGGTGTTCATGCTGCCTGATATCATGAGGCAATGCAGGAACTATGGCAAGAAGCACGGCCATCCTGCCACCTACCCCAAGCCCAAGGCGGCTTGAGCGCGGGGTGCTATGTATGATGGGAATGGTTGATACCCTTAATATTTAATACAAAAGTCACATGTTGATAAGAAGGATGTTTGTTGCGACTACTCGAATTTTAGACGAAGGAAATATTGCCAGTAACCTTAGGCTACCCAACACGACAGCCCTTGCATGGAATCGAAAGTCCTGGTAGGTGAGGTGCAAAATCCACCAACACTAACAAGAGAACGTCGCCGGTCTCCCTCGAAACGAATACTAAGCCTTCACTTCGTCCTCTTTTAGGACCCGAAGGTGACATTTACTAGACGAGAGCCCTGACGGAAATTGCCATACAAACTTTGCAGCCGTCAACAAAGCTCTGCCAGGATTGAATGATCGCCGCCGTCCAGCAACCCTGAACTTCGGCCTTGAATGGCATCTATTCATTGATCATTCCACTGACACTCAGTTTGAAGAGTCTCAAGGGGATTGCTTTTTATCCAACGGATCTCCAACACCGCCATCGCTTTTGACACATGACCAGGCCACAGTAACACTTGCAAGCGAACAAAGTGAGGACATCGAATTCTTGGTTGGGATGTTTCCATTACGATCCTGTCAAAGTCCGATTTATATACGTACATTAACTGTACGTTACCGTTTCCCATATCTTACTCTGCTAGTCCTATACTGGCCAGCTTTCAGTTATGTATTAGCAGCCTTTTAAATATGCCTGCGCACGACCTCTATTCGTTGAGAACACCAATCTTAGGGGTTTTGAGAGAAGAAATATATGCTTACTTTCTGGACTGCGATGATTTTTTACCGCAAATTGATTCTGTCTGTTGTTCAGGAAGGTATTCATCATATATACGAACAACGAAGGTGAGAACCAGATGGCGCGCCAGTAAGCAGGAGGAGTCACAGCCTCATGAATTGGTCTCTATACAGCCATTCCCGGCAATGCACCTCAACCAGTCGTGCGTCCTTTTGGTACTATAGCAATTACGAAATGTTGCACCACATTCGATTGGTGTTGCAGGTTAGTCATCTTGGAGTCTAATGAAGGGGTCATCGCTGTTATAATGCTGCATACTGTTGCGTGCCACTGAGCATCGTTGCTACGAGGCTCACAGCCAGAGCTCGAGTACTTCGGGACATTTCTCAACCTAATACTTGCATCTCGAGAGTTCGAGGAGCCCGCAACGAAGCTTGTTCCTGAACAACCGAAGTCCTCTCCTGTTTGCATTGATCCAACAAGTTTCCTAGACGGTGATGAGATGCACAATCAGACAAAAAGATATCACAAGACTTGAAACTCTGGAAGGCAGAAATGCTGTATTATATCTAGGGTATCTTGCACACGGCCACCACAATCCCTCTTGGCCTTTTTTACACACCGCTCCACTTCCCAAACTTGGAATACCTCCTGTACATCTCCCTCAAAATCGCTCTTCCGCTAGCATCCATGGCATCGTTCAAAATCTTCCTCACCTCAATCGGCGTAATATCAAACACGGAGTTCATACCCGGCTCAAGCGCCTCGCGGACATCCCTCGGGACATCCACGTCAAGCTGCATCTTGACATACGCCATGAGTACGAGGTACATGTGTCGGCCGGCAGACCTCTTGGCCGCATCGGTTGCGGAGTCGAGGGCGCTGAGGTGCTGCACGCGCGACACGGCGGCGGCGGCAGGCTCGCAGACCAAGGTGACCAGGCGGGTGAACTGCGCGGCGTGCTTCGCGCGGACAGCTGCGGAGGTCTGTTGGCGGGACAGGGCTCCAAGAAGGGCTTCCAGGGTTGAGACGAGGATGTGGTAGTGGCCCTCGAGACGGAGGCGATGCTTCTTGATAATCACCTCCATCAGTTTGCAAAGCCACTGGTAGACGCTGGGCGAGGCGTCGAGGAGGTTGTTCGGGTCGGTGGCGACGATGACGGCTGTGGTGCTGAGGGTGGTCTCAATGTTCCACTGCGTCATTGAGTTGGACTTGATGTCGAGCAGCTGCTGGAGGACTTCGGCTGTTCTGACGAATTCGCGGACGGTCTTGGCCTTGGTGAGGTATCTGATCAAAGAGCCGTGTGCGGTTGCCAGATCGAATGTCTTGGACTTCTCAAGGCCGGTTGGTGCTTCTGTGTTGCGTGTTAGCCTGAGATTGGCGACTGTGGTAGGATGCGACTTACCCGTCATCTGAGCGATGACACGGCGAATAGCCAGGAGCTGGCCTTCTGTTGATGCACCGGCCTTGGTAGCAGAGTCTTCCTTCACGCCTTCGAGGAGGCTTTGGATGTAAATAAGCTTCTCGCTGTAATCAAGTCCAGCAACTACAGCGTCAATACAATCCTCCAGAATAGCTTGGCGGTTGAAGTCGGACAGCGGATCAGGAGCCGGTCCACTGGGGAGGGGTGTAGCCACGGCGCTGCTGAAGAGCTCGTTGAACGAGATTGGGCGAGGGTCGGCAAGTTGCGATGGGAAACGTTTAATGAGGAAGGATCGCAGCTTCCAGCCGCTCAGGTGCCCGTTTGCGACGGCCTGCTGGCTTGCCTCTTCCAATTGGGACATCTTGACTTTCATTTGTTTGACGGCAGCGTCAGGCAAAGTTTCGGCAGCGTCCAGAGCAATTAACAACCGGTTGACTACAGTCTTGTCGACCTTCTGTTTGCGAGATGCCTTCGCAAAGTCGCCCAGGGCTTCTTGTACCCTGCTAGCAAGTGCGGAGGCAGTCTTGTCGACGTCGATGACAGCCGTCTTTTCCTTCGCGCCAGCATCAGGTAACACCACAGACAGGAGGGCCTTGAGGAGAGTCATCTGAGCAAAGGACTCGGCACTGGCAACATCCCCCAGTAGACTGGAAACTTTCTCGAAATATTGCACACGGTACTCTTGATGATCGTTCATCTGTCGAATAGTCGCCGTTGACAGACTGCCAAGAAGCAGGGACAACCCAACAGCCACCTTTGAGTTGTTCTCAGTGCAGGCTGTCGAGATCGAGGCAGCAATCTTTTGGAGATCTGAGAATGCCATGTCCTTGTAAAACGTCGGTTTCCTCATGATCTTGTCGACCAGCCCAAGAACCAAACTTGAATGCTCCGGGCTTATGTTTTTGACGGCTTGGATCTTGTGAATCAAGATTTCCATAATGCGCTCCCGCTGTTGTCTCGTCAACGCTTCATCGGGCACCCTCGAGAGCTCAACCATAGCCGTCCTGCTTCGCTTCTCAGTCCAGGGAGACGACTTTCCAGAAACCTGCGCGATAATTTCGATAGTGTGGTCAACGACTCCAGCCGTCAGCTTTCGGTCGCGCAGGTTATTTTCATTTGAGAAGACAGAATCCAGCACGTTTCCAAGCCGCGATTCGCTGTCGTTCTTGTCGCCAAGAAGCTTTTGTAGGTACTCTGGCATGGAACCAGATGACTTTGAGAGCAGCGAAACAAGTCTGGACGCAGCCAGCGGGTACTCGGCGCAGAACTTGGACGCATTGGAGGTGTCTGAAGCCAAAGAATCCCGCGATTCCAGCAGCTCTTTCACATCATCGAGCTTCACCTTCTTCAACAACCTCTCCACGAACGATGTGAGGAGCGAAGCGAGATCAGCCTGGTCACGGCCATCGGGGTACATGGCTAACCAGAACTGATACGCACACTCCAGAGCCTCGCAAGCATCCTCGTCCTCGAACTTGGCCTTTTGCAGTGCCTTCGTCAGATCGGCGCGAACGTTGTCCCAAAGCTTGGTCGCTCCTTCGTAGTCCACCCACGACACTGTCTTTGCGATGATCCTCCACCGCAAGGAGCGGATATCTGAAGGAACCTTGCCAGATGACCATACTTTAAGGGTCAAATCTGACAGTTGCGTGCCAATCGCATCAGCGTAATCATCGTTGGTTACAGCGCTGGCAATTGTGTTAAGGAAGATGAGCACTGCTGCGGGTCGAAGAGTCTCTTGGTTCTCAACCCATTCCAGGAGGCTCGTCAATTGCTTCGTAGTCAACGATTTCTCGATGCCGCCGATGAGAGTAGGGCTACGGTGGACTCGAGTAAACCAGACAGGCCTATCTTCGGAACGCAGAGTCTTATCCTCAAATTTGGAAAGCTGGTCGAACCACTTCTTCAGGAAGGTAGATAAATCACGGGCGCTTTCGAAGCCAGTGATCAGCGACGCAATCAGCTCGTTCATGGACACCTCGCTTGCCTCAGCGCCAGCAACAGTAATTCTATCGCAAACTTGATCAAAGAGCTCCATTCCCTCCTCGGATTGCAGGAAAACATCCGCGTCGCATTTAGCGATGAGAGAAAGGAGTGTCCAGTCGGTTTCGCTGGGGCTGCCAGTTATGGCATAATTACTGCACGCCATACGCAGGTCGTCCAAGGCAATACGGGCCTTGTGTTCGATCGCTTCTTCCAAGATCGATGTCATAACGCGCGCCTTTTCGCTGTTGGATAGTTGTCTGTTTGCACGCTCAGACAATCTGAACACCTCTTGCATCCAGGCGTCATTGGCTTTGGATGTGGTGAGTCCCCCAACAACCTGCGGCGCGGCCGAGGCCAAGCTGTAAATTACGGGCACCGAAACGGATGCGATACTTTGCAATATGCTGAAGGCGCGAGTGACAATCTCGAGGTCGGTTTTGTTGAAGTATGCTGATCTCGCAGGAAGAATGAGGTTGCGCTGCAGGAACTTCTCCAGCTCGCGCGTCCAGAACTTGGCCACTGCATCGCCCACAGCAGCGCCCTGCTTGAGTCTACCCAGAATGGAGAATGAGGCACGGGAGAAGTGTGTGGCTACCTCAAGCGCATCGGCGCTTCCCTGAAGATGCAGGTCCCATGCAGAAGAGAAGACTTTGACCCAGGACTCCTGGCCCTCGAACTGTTCGCCATCAGCGACGGCCAGCGATTGGTTGCAGAGCGACAGTAGAGGCGACAGGTATTCAACAGCATCGGCCGCAGGTTGCGCGAAAAGCGCCTTGATGTGCTCCGCCCCCATCCTGTCGTGCGCAGACCATTGCGCCGCCGGATCCAGTCGCGCCAGGAGTATCTTCAAAGCACTGAAAATAGCCTCGCCAGTCGCCAGACAGCCATCGCTAGATTTCAGACTCTGCAATTCGAACTTTGCAGCGCCGGCTCTTTTCCTCTTCTTCGAGTCTGTTGTGTCGGCCTCGGTGCTAGGCTTTGCGACATCCTTCAGCGTTTGCTGAAGAACGGCCATAAACTTTCGATCGGCGAGGGATTTTGCGAGAGAGAAGAGAGGTATTCTCTGGAACGAGCAGCCGAGGATGCGCCACGTCAAAGGGAATCGTCGGACAATCTCTGCTTCGTCGTTGTTCGTCTTCATCGTCTTAAGGAGCCATCGCAGAACGCTCTCCTCGGCAGCGGAGAACTGGCTCTGACCGGAGGATGTGAGCTGCTTCCACAGCCGATCGAGCTTTTCGCCATTGGCGCCGGGGCCAGTTTGATCGAGAGATCGCACAGTCTTAACCAAGTCCCTGTCTGCCGTCTTTGGATTGTCAGTACGTCAGAATGCACAGTTGGTCGATATTGGACTTACAATGGTCTCTGACGACCTGTCAGGACTCGCATCGGTCATTTCGACATCCATGGCGACCGTGCGACAGAAAAGGAACCCGGCAGACGTATGTTGTCTCTAAACAGGTAAATGTTTAAGTCGGCATCAACTCCCCGCGATGTTTGGCTTGAGCTTTCCCAAAATTTCGGGATTCTGCCGCCCCACCCAATCGCATCCAGTCACCGAATCTCACCGAGGTCTCACCGCCCTCGGGTGTTCAACATCAATTTGCCGGGTCTCTCCGAAAACATCATTTGGATCAAATCCACAGTTGAAGCTCCAAACCCGGACACCCACCAGTGCGTATCTAGTCAATTGCGTGAGTGTCGACGCCCAAAGCTGCAGCAGGCCGCATTGACGCTGACCAACATCTTTCCAGGGCTACCGACGACGACCATGGCTGAGAAATCCGTTCCCCCTTCCCCGAGCGCTGTCGCGCGACCCGTCAGTGAGGCACTTCTCAACGAGAAGGTTAGCTAGCTCCCCACTTCTAGATACACCAGAGGATTCGGCTGTTTCTGACATCTTGTTCTTGTAGTGGGACCACTGCCTGTCCAACCTCCTCGTCAAGTCCACCCTCGGCCTCGGCTTCGGCGTCGTCTTCTCAGTCCTCCTGTTCAAACGCAGAGCGTGGCCTGCGTTCATCGGTGTTGGTTTCGGAGCTGGACGTGCGTACGAGGAGTGCAACTCTAGCCTGAAGCAGGCCGCCAGGGAGATCAGGAAGCAGGCATAGGTCATGCCTTGGACCACCGTCGAAACGAGACAGACCGGAAGAACGGAGGCGAACTTTCGAACGACCGGAATGACACACGCTGTACAAAACCAACTACGTCACACGAGCACGTGAAGCTCGCCGGGGAAAGCCAGGAGCCGGCGCGTGCCCCCGTCGAGATCACCCTTTTTGGAGTCGGCATTGCTAGATTAGGACGGGGAAGAGCGATGGGAATAGAGCCATTTTCTTTGTTTGTCTACTCTGTTCGTGCCATGCTGCTTGCGTACTGCTACCCCACGAGGTCGAAAGTGGAGGGTGTTCTGAAATTTCTGTGTTCCTGGATGTTCCCGCCGTTCTGCCTTCAAAAGGAATAGGGAGATGTGCGGTGTTCAACCAAGCCCTGGTATGTGTTCCGAAGAGCAACCGTTATCCATCTCTGCCAAGGCGATGACCGAACCCAGTCGCCATCACCAGAGTTCTGACCGCTGCCTATACACCTGTATATCATTACCACCGATGTGCCTTTCGAAGTTTAAAGGTGTCATTGCTCGTAGGAAGGGATTTCACTGTCCCAGGGATCAAGATGCTCTCGAAGTCCACTGAAGAATGGTGATGCAGCATGTGATCGATGGATCCTAGTACATCCCCAAAAGACGTCTCTTTCGTTCTCCCTTAAGAACAGCAGAATCAGTAGAACTGGAAGCCCGCTGCCGCATCCTGCATTCCTTTCGCCTGGACAAGATGAGGTAGAGGGCGACAGTGATAGATACGGCCAAAGCTATGCTGACGAAGACAAGAGCAGCAATTTTCCAGCCTGATATGCCCTGGCTAGGACCAATTCCTCGTTCGTCGACCTCCCGGCTTTGATGTAGACCATCGATGGCGGCGCCTGTGGCGAGCTGGATGATTTTCGTGCTGACGGGCCGGGGGGCGTGACCGCTGCCTTGGTGAAGATGTGGTCTTGTTGTTAGATTGACCCCGGGTTGGGTATCGTTGGCGAGAGCCAGCTTGAGGGTTACAGATGTCATGGCGACATAAAACTATGTTCCAAAATGATACTTCGTTTCCAGGATTTAGGCAAAGACGTGTAGGATTGTTGAGAGTCGTAGATGATCAGGGCTGAGGGTGATCGACGGAATTGCGGAATGCTTGCTGCTTCCCAATCACCATTGTGAACTTTACCGAAGCTCAGTCGCTCTTTCTGCGATGAACCAGACCAAGTCTGCAAACGCAGGAAACTATGACCAGCAAGGTAGGCTCGCCTTCAATGACACAAGATACCTTCCGGGTACTCTTGGCAATGGCACTGGCATAATTCGTCTTTCAGGAGGCACTGACCGGCAGAGATCAATTGGAAGCTTTTACATTGCTGCTACCAACCTCATCTTGACCATTTTTAGGAACGCACTCGAGCAGCAAATGCAATCCACACGTTTCGTCACTTATAACAGGTCAGCGCCGAATTCCACACTCAGTGATCATTCGATCTTTGTTGACGTACTAAATCTGTTGTAGTGCCACTTATAAACACTTCCAAACTCGTGATATCAATTGGCTGCATAATTTTGACCGGACTCATTGCGGGTTGTCGAGACTGGCGGTTGACCAGACCCTAGAAAGCCGGGGCAGCTCGGCGATTGCAGCGTCTCCGATCTGAAGTACTCCACAGATCCGAACAACCGGCTCCGACAACCTCAATAACCGAGCCAACAATCTTTCAGATCTGGTCAAACATGCAAATACCTTGGTTCTTAGCGGAGATTCCGTTGCCCGGATAGAAGCCATTGAAACGGTAACGTGTAAGCTCGATCACAGATCTTTATGTCGGCCAATGGGCAAACCAGCCGCACCGCCGCCAGAGCTTCATATATGAGTAGAAATCCGTAAACAACGATTGGACAACAGACATCCTTCGAGCTCCCCCAGAGCTGACTAATTTCCCCCGAACTGCCCCCCAATGCCAACTGCCGCCACCTACCGCCCACCACCTTTTACATCATAAGCTGTGCTACACCCGGTAGGTAGCCGGAGCTGCCACCCTCTGTCTGCAGGTCAAATTTCTCCAAACCCGGCCCTCCACCTGCGACTTCAACGAGCGCATCCGACACCCCCCGAATACGCAGCAAATATGGCAACATCACTGCGCTGCCTCCACGCGCCTTCGAGCGCAAACGTTTTTGTGCAGCTTGCATGCCGCTCGGTGCCGACTCCGACGACGGCTAGCGCCCCGATTCTCTCGGTTCTGATTCCGAGGTGGAATACCGCCACCGACACCACGACAAATCACCCCGGCGGGGCGAGGAAGCACAGTACCGAAGCTCTTTCAAGGACAAGGCCGACGCCACAGAATTTTGCGAGGAGAAACGCGGCAACAAAGCACCAACAGATCCGCAAGTTTACGGCTTCGGCGACGAGGCGGCAGACGAGATGTGTCTATAACCCGCAAAACGACGAGGACGGGAAGGCGATGGTGCTTGAGATCACAGACAGGGCGGGCAAGGTATGTCCTTTGGTTTTGCCTCGTTGCGAGGCTTGCTGAGACCTGCGCGGAAATGGCTAACACAAGCTCCACAGCGTCTGGCCGACATCATGAAGAAGGACAACAACCCGAACCTCGCGCTCAGGATACAAGTAGAGAGCGGCGGCTGCCACGGCTTCCAGTACCTCATGAGCCTAGTGACCCTCCCAGGGACCGAGAACGTGGAGGACTGGTCAAAGGTCGTTGGAGAGGAGGATACGGTATTCCAGTACCTTCCCGAGGGCGCGGACCCTTCGGCGGCGACATTTGGGGGACCAAAGGTGGTGATTGACGAGCCGTCCTTGGATCTGTTGAAGGGAAGCAAGGTGGATTTCACGATGGAACTCATCGGCTCCCAGTTCAAGATCACGGATAACCCATACGCCACGAGCAGTTGCGGATGCGGGACGAGCTTCGACATCAAGATTTGAGGCATGAGTCAGCAGGGGGACCTGTACTACCTACGTACTAATATCAAGAGGGGGACATGAGTGTACACTACGGGGTTATGGTGGGTAGAGAGCGAGAACTTTGGGTATGCAGGCTCAACGAGCCTCGAGATAATTCCAGACTCACTACTTTTCACATATTAGACACACGAAACACTACTCTCTTCAGAAGAGGCTTGCATTGCTACTCATAGGGAATGAAGAACCCAGGCGTCGTCAAATGATCAATTCACAAGTTTCCCTTTTGTGGTTATCAACGCCGTGCAACCATGCCAATCATAAAAGTAACCCTTGGTATTCTCAACCCTGCCGAAGCCCGAGTAAAACTAAGACAAACCCGTCTTGTCACATTGCCAGATCCCCGATTTTTTTGATTCAATTAACCCATAACCCTAGGACAAACAAATAACTTAGTTCATCTGGCGGATAAGAGCGTTGATCTTCTCCTCGCGGTTGCCAAGGTCACCACCCTCGATGTAGTGCTTGAACTTGCGGGGGCGGAAGCCACCAGTGGGGTTGGAGAGCTTGAAGGGCCACAGGAAGTTGGACGCCTGCTTGAAGTTGGGGCCGACGGAGTAGATCTCGTGGATGAGGTCCTCCATGCAGACAATGCCGTACTTGCCGAGGTTCTCCTCGATGATGGCGTTGTCGGTAAGGGCAACGCGCTGCTTGTTGACCTTTCCGTAACCGCGCTTGTAGACGAGGTCCTTGACGGACTTGAGGTTGGGGTATCCGTAGGCAACCCAGGGCTCGATGACCTTGATCATCTCGGTGGTGGCCTTGGTGACCTTGATGAAGACACCGTTGTTGATCTGGAGGAGACGGAGGAGCTGGAGGATCTTGCGGGGCTTGGGGGGCATCTTGTTGATACCCTTGATGCGGATGAGGAAGATCAGGGTAGCCTCGGCGGGAACGTAGGCGGAGTCGTTCTCGCGAGCGACGCGGGAGAGGCGGACCTTCTCACGCTCGGCATCGCGGTACTCGGTGATGTACTTCTCAGCACGCTTGAAGATGACGCCGCGCTTCTCCTTGTTGGCCTTTGAGAGAACATGTTAGCAACTGTTGCAAGACAGGGTGGTGTTCTCAAAATGAGGCGTTGAATCCGATAAGTGTCAGACCCGAAAGAAGGTTAATTTCCAACAGCATCGACCGTAGTCTAGTCGTGAAGGTTTGTTGTGCATCATGTAGGGAAGGGTGAATGAAGAAATTGCGGCGAAGGCACTTACAGTCTTCTTCTTCTCGGCGGCGGCGTTGCGCTCGGCGCGAGCCTTCTCCTGAGACTTGCGCTTCTTGAGAAGGGTCTCGGGGACCAGGACCTGGTTAGAGGTGGGGACGGAACTGTTGATGCAACTCA